ATAATTTGAAAACAATCTAAGTGTCCAACAGTAGGGGATGGTTAAGCAGATTAGGGTACGTTTGTTTTATGGAATATTATGCGTCTGTTAAAAACGACATCTCTTCCTAGTAGCCAAAATTGGAAACAGCCCAAATGTCCATCCGTGGATGAGTGGATAACAAGATGTGGTCCATCCACACATGGGAATATCAGCCTTGAACAGGAACGAGGCGCCAACATGCACTGCCCCGGGGATGGACCCCGAGCCCACGATGCTCAGGGAGGGAACCAGACACAGAAGGCCACACGGGGTGTGAGTCCACGTGGGTGACACGTCTAGAACAGGCTCATCCACGAATGGGAAGGGGGCTCATGGGGGCCCGGGGAGGGGAGTGAGGGTGACTACTGATGGGGGCGAGGCTTCTTTTTGGGGTGACGGAATGTTCCGGAATGAGATAGTGGTGACGTTTGTGCACATTTGCAAAAATACCCAAAACCACTGAGTTGTACACTTTGAAATGTAGCGATAAGTTTTATGTTATGTGCACATTACCACATTTAAAAAAATATGTTGTAAGGTCTACAGAAGTATTAAATTAGGCAAAGGATCAGAGAGCACACTGAAAACACCTGAGAAATTCAAGTCGTGACGGCGTCGAGTGAAGAACAGCAGGAATTACAATGATATAAGGAGCCTCTCTGCAACCGAGAGAGCATGAGCGACAGGAAAGGAAGGAAACACGGGGTGTTCGCAGTGGTCCACTTCATTCCGCTCTTCGTTGTTCTGCAACTCCCAAGTTCTGTGTAATGGGAAAACCCAATGCACTCAAGCTCTTCAGTGTAAAGCAGACCTAAAACTCACCAACTTCACCATCATAACCATCTTTTTTTTTTTTTAAGATTTTATTTATTTATTTGAGAGAGAGAGAATGAGAGAGAGCACATGAGAGGGGGGAGGGTCAGAGGGAGAAGCAGGGTCCCTGCCGAGCAGGGAGCCCGATGCGGGACTCGATCCTGTGACTCCAGGATCATGACCTGAGCCGAAGGCAGTCGCTCAACCAACTGAGCCACCCAGGCGCCCCATCATAACCATCTCTTAAGTGCACAGCTCAGCGGCAGGAAGCACATTCACACCGTCCTGTGACCACCCCCACCCTCCGTCTCCAGAACTTTCCATCTCCCCACACGGAGACTCTGTCCCCGTGAAGCACGGACTCCCCACCCCCACCCCAGCCCCGGCCCCCACCCTCTCCTCTCTGTCTGTGTGGACGGGACCCCTCTGGGGACCTCCTGGGAGTGGGGTCCTGCGGGATGTGTCCCTCTGGGTCTGGCTCCTCTCGCTGAGCGCAGTGTCCTCGGGGTCCCTCCGCGTCGTGGCAGGTGTCGGGGTCCCTTCCTTCCTAAGGCTGGAGCGTGTTCCCGCGCGTGGATGGACCGCACTGTGTTTATCCATTCACCTGTTGATGGGCACGTGGGTCGTGTCCACCCTTTGGCCGCCTTGGACGGGGGCAAATACCCCATGTTTCCCAATACCCCTTTTTTTTCTTTTGGCAGAACTCAGCAGACATAAACGGGCCCTACCCCCCCGAGCCAGGCTGCCTTCTCCGCTGCAGGAGAAACGCGGGTCCTCGGGCTTGTCCGCGTCTGCTTCCCTGAAACACCTTCTCGCCCGGCAGCCCAACTACCGGGCGGCCCAGGGAGAACGTGGAGGCGGCGCTCCCCAGCCAGGCCGGCCGGAGCGGGCAGGCCCAGGGACACGCTCCCTCTCCCCCGGGTGGGACTGATTTCGGGCCAGGGACGCGGTGGGTTTTCCCGGCTGTCAGTGCTGCCAGTGCCTCCGGAGGGAGTTGGCAGGTCTGCCCTTCCGTTTTCGTCTTTCGGGGACTGCGTGCCAGGTTGCGCTCCAGCCCTGCCCACACTGCCCGCGTCAGCCCTCCCACACGCGGCGCCGTCTCCGAGCAACCGGGCTCGCCCGCCCCGGCCTGCCGCCCGAGGTCTAGGGAGGCTTCCCCGGCGCCTGGGCTCGCTGGGCTCGCCTCTGCCTGCCCGCCGCCGGCTTGCTCCGGCGTCCTCTGCCGGGGGAGGGGGCTGGAGACGGAAGGTCAGCAGCGACCGCTCCTCGGGCTTGCGGGGAGCGCCGTTGCCCAGACGCTCCATCCATCTGGACCCAATGCTTCGCTAACCAGCTGCTTGGTTTTTTGGGAGTTGCTGGCGGGGGGGCGGGGCGGGGGAAGATTTAACTCCCTGTCGACGGGGTTGGTTTTAGGCCACCTGGTGGCGAGGATACTGCCTGTCCTCCCCAGGAGCCAGGGGTGGGACCGGCGAACCGCGGGTGATGGGCTTTCCCGGAGCTGCCCGTGCCAGGAACTGCGTGCGGGTCGTAGCAGCGGGGACACAGGGCTTTCCCCGAAGGTGAGGCTGTGATGGTCACGGCTGCCCAGTGCTCGCCCCGGAGGCCAAGCCAGCCTCCCTTCCCGCCGTCCCGCTGCCCCTGCCTCAGCTGAGGCCTCTCGCCCGCACCATTACCACAGTCTCCTGGGGTAAGACGGCAACAAGCGGCGTCCTCCCAGCCCCAAGGCACGTCCCTCGGACAGTGAGACTCATCTCTGCGTGTCAGAGCACGGCTACAAGCATTTGACACGTTTACTGGGCGACAACTACGGACGTGGTCTGTTCTAGACCTGGGGTTACCTCGGGGAACAAAGTGGAGGCACTCGCTGCAGGCAGAGGATTCTCATCCCCGGGGGAAGGCAGGGAACACGTGATTTTAATCAGTGGAATGTGGGGTTCAGAAAATGAATATGGTTATGTGACAGGGTGAGGTGGTCAAGGAGTCTTTGAGGAGGTGACACCTGGGTTGAGACCCGAGGGAAGAAGAGCTTACTAGGTAGTGGGAACAGCATGTGCAAAGGCCCTGGGGTGAGAATAGGTCTGAGGACCGCAGAGGCTGGTGGGTCTGAAGTGGCATTACGGAGGGACAGGGTGGTGGATGGGCTTTTGTGGGGCTTTGTCGGTATTTGGGGTTTCATCCTGAGCTCCTACTGCTTGAGGATTGAAGCGGCAGATGGGCCACCGTGATGGCAGGCAGAAGGGGGGCTGACAGCAGTATTAAATTAGGCAAAGGATCAGAGAGCACAGAGGAACCCAGGAGGACTCCCCGGTGGTGGTGGTGGGGTGAGCCTGGGGAGCTGGTTGACTGGCAGAGCCACCGACAGATGCAGAGGGAGGGGGGTTGGTGAAGCTCTGCGGCAGGAGCAGGAGAATGTCGGCACCCTCCCCTGTGCCCCGTCTGCGGCTGCAGCCAGGACCAGCTGAGGGGCTGGCTCCGACTCCTAGGTGTTGCCAGGGTGCCCGCAGGAGGCGGGGGGCCGCTCCCCCCAGGAAGGGGGCCCGGGGCCCCAGAGGCAGAGGAGAGGGGCCTGCCCTCCCGGGGACGTAGCATGGTTAGGCAGGGGCCGGCTGCTTCCGGTTTCCAGGAGATAACGTGCCTACTAGAACGAGGCTCGGCTTCGTCCGCCCAAGGGGCAGGCGGTCCCCTGGCCCGGCTCTGAGAAGGGGGTCCTGGCGTCTCCCTGCCCTGGTCCGCATGCGTGCCTGTGCTCTGACACGTGCCGCTCCCACGGACCACCCACGCGTCCTCCCCCTGCCCCCCACCCATGCCCCATCCTCATTGCCTGGGGACGCCCTGGGGCTGGACGCTGTCAGAAGCTCAGCCCGGGACCACGTCTCCCCACGTGAACCCCCGCTCTCCCCACTGAGGTTTGCAACGGACATTTGGGAACACTCCAGGGAACTCTTGGTAGGGGACCTGCAGGCGGAGAGCCCCCCCACCCCAACTCAGCTTGGCCGCCTCCTCCCCCAGGAAGCCCTCTGGGCCCCCGACCTTCCCGCTGATGGCCCCACTGTTCATTTCTGGGACCAGGCCAAGATGGGTTCCTTGAGCAGCCGTGGGGCACGTGGGATGAATGCCTCTCGGGTAGGGTCCCCAGGGCACCCTGGTGTGGGGGTGGCCCGAGGGACCCACATGTCGGGGTGCAGCCTCTGGGCAGCGCCAGCTCCTCAGACGTCCTCGGTGTTCACACCCGCGGCCTGAGTCCCAGAGAGAGATGCTGGCTGGTCAGGCGCCCCTGCTCGGAGCCCGGAGGGAGCAGCGGGAGGGCCCCGAGGGAGAGACCGCGCAGTCCACACCAGAAGACATGGTTTATTCACTCCCCACCCCCCGCAAACTCTCGGCTAGCTCTAGGAGGACATGAGACACGAAGCCACACTCCGGCTGTCCCCTAAACACAGAAATGAAATTGAAGGACCCAATCGACCACAGATGGGCTTCTCTCCTTCAGGGCCACCCGGCAGCTGGACAAAACGCCCCAGCAAAGAGGGAGGTCTGGCCGCATCGGGGCAGGGGCTGGGCCGGGGGTGCCCCCATGCCCACCAGGCCTGGCCCTGGGCCTGCATCGGCTGCACCCAAGCGGGAGCGAGGGCAAAGCCCAGGCCCGAATGGGAAGTGGCAGACAGCAGTGTTAGAAGGCACTCAGTGGTACGGGGTCAGGGCCGACTGTGGGTCACAGACCTCTCTGGGGGGCGAGGGGAGCGCCCAGCCTGCATCCTCACCACCACTCGGCCCTACCACCCTCCCTGGGGGTGGACGTGGGCTGGAGAGACACCGCCCAGCTCAGGCCTGCAGACCTCTGGCGGTGGGGGATCTCTAGGCTGGGGGTCTGGAGGGGGCACTCCTGGCCTGGCTGTGCCCTCAGGCTTACCTCTACCCCCCAGCTCTCCCTGGCCTGCCTCCCCAGCCGAGAAGGGTCGGTTGGCAGGGCTTCGGGTCCATGCAAAGCTGCGGCATCCAAAGGAAATGCCTCAGAAACCCACATGCTTAGTAGGCCACGGGCGAGTGCAAAGCTAGCGAGAAATGCCAGGGTTTACCATCGCTGTGCCCCACCTTCTACCCCGCCATGGGGGCCTCAGGGTGGGGAGGGGGTGGCCCCATGCGGCTCTCACTCCAGGATAACGTGAGGATTTAAACACGAGTGCTTTTAAAGAAACCCACGGAGCCTTCCTGGAAAGGAAAACACGACAGTCCAACGTTGTCGGGATGAATCCAGGGAATCACGTGCAGGGGTGAGGCTGCTCACGCGGGCCCCTCTCCGCCCAGCCGGCCCTGCTTCCTCTGGACGTCGCCCTCGGGGGCCGTACCCGCCTCCCGCAGCCTCTTGCGGAAGCGCGGCCCGGGCCTGCTTCTGGGGGGCGGCAGAGGCTCCATGCCCAGGATCGCGTGGATCTGCCGGAACGCCAACAAGCGCAGGGCGTGCTGGGGGCAGACAGCGGGTCAGTGCCCCCCGCACGGCACCCCAGCTCGCCCTGCGCCCACAGCCCAACTCGGAGCTCAGGACACACTCAGGCGCGAAGAGAGGTGGGGGGCTCGCTGGGGCCGGCGGATGGCAGGACGCCGCCAGGACGCCCCTCGGGGCATCGGCCCCTGCTGGCCTCTCTACAGGGACCCCGAACCCTGCATCTCCTGTTCGCCTCTGATCCTGACCAACTTGGTGCTTCCTGTTAGGGGCGATTCGTAAGCGCCAGGCCTGGCGTGGTTTCTGGGCCGCTGGGAGATCTAAGTAAACTTGCCCGCTAAAAGGAAACCACAGCCAGGGGCTCTGCTGGGGTGCGTGGGGCTGGAGGCCACAGCTGGGTGTTTTCACACCACAGGGCAGGAGGCCGAGGGGCGCCCAGGAAAGTTCCAGCCAGCAAGGTCCCGGGGGCAGTCCTGTCACCCTCAGGCCGCCCATCTCTGCAAAGGGAAGGAGAGGGGGAGGGGGCGGCCCCCACCTGTGGAGCCACAGGGCCTGGCTGTCCTACCTGGGCACTGGCCGTGATGTCCTCGCGCTGCTGGGGGGTCAGGGACCCGAGGGCGTCCCTCTGGTCTCTCTCGCAGGGATCCTGGAGCCCAGGCCCATCTTGGCGAGGGGAGGTGGGGGCAGCAAAGGAGAGAGCCCCCGGTGAGAGACTGCCACGGCCGTGGGGCAACGCAGGGGCCCAGGCGGGTCCCACGGGGTCCGTCCCCGCCCCCCGCGCGCCGTGTGACCGCACAGACGGGCCCACTGCATCGCTTCTGCTCTTAGCCTGCTACCATCCTGTCACTAGAGCGACCAGGAAACCCCATTTCTACAGCTGACATCTCAACTGTGGGGCGGTGCGGGGTCTCCCTTGGCGGCGGAAAATACGCCGCATGAACACCTCTGCCTACAGCCCGTTATCTGCGTTGCGGCTGTTTCCTTTGGCAAGATTCCCGGGGCTCTCCAGAAAGGGCGGGTGGGCCCCCGAGAACCAGGGCCCTGCTGCCCCAGGGCGGGCCCCCTCCTGCCCCAACCCACGCGCCCCGCTCTCCTCCGCGGGCGCATCCACGTGCCTCCACTGGGGCGCGTGCGTCTGTCCGGGCCCGTCCTCCCGTCTGCCTCGACGGTGCTCCCGAGTGCGTGTAAGCCACACGCTGCGGGTCTCTGGGCTCCTCGGCCGGCGGGACTGACCTGTCAGGAGTGTCCCCGAGGCCACACACTCCAGGACACGCCTCATGCCGTCCCCAGGACTGAGGGGCCCTGACGCGCTGCTCAGAGCCTTCTCCACCAGCAGCTCCATGGCCTGCGCCGGGTGGGGACAGGAGAGACACCGTGCCTTGGGGGACAGCACGCGGGCCTGCCTCCCGCCCGAACCGGAGCGAGGGCCGCAATGCCGGGCTGGGCGGGGTCGCCAGGGGACCCTGAGCTCCTTCCCTCAGGCCCACCCACCCTTCAATTTCTGCGGAGGAGGGGGATCCCTGGAGCCTCGCCTCCCGCCTCCTCGGGGCCTGGCTGAGCGCAGGTTTCTTCACTCTCCACGTCTCCCAACTCCTCATCGGCAAATCCTGGGCACAGTAACACTGCGAGCCAGCGTCCCGAGGGTTAAAAGAACCGCTCTCTGTGACCCTTGTGCATTTAGCTGGGGTCCCGATGACCCACTGGGCTGCTCTGGCATGCCCCCCTCCCCAGGAAGCCACCCTGCCTCAGGGGGGGTGTCCTGCGGGCGGGACCAGGACGCGTGCTATCTTGGGGGTGCTTCTAGATTTACAGGAAAACAGCTCCTCTCGGCGTCAGAGAGGACCCCGCGTCCACAAGGGGGTCGTGTCAAGATCGATGTTCCTGCTGGACACGGGGCAGGAAGTGGAGACTGGGATGGGGGGCACAAGAACCCTTGGTTTTGGAGACGGCCCTTGTGACTAAGGCCCAGGGCGGCCGGGCCGGGGTGGGAAGGGTCTGCTTGTCTAAGAGCCCGACTTTGGTGGGGGAGACATGCTGCCCACAGAACTGACATACAAAGCAAGCGTCCCCCAAAGTAAAGGAGGGAGGGACAGACTCAGACCCGCCAACGGGTGCACAGACATGGCGTGATCCCAGAGAAAGGTGTTGGGGGGTGCCCCAGAGAGGGCAGGCAACTTGGGGTTTGGGGGCATGGGTGCCCCTGCATCTGTCTTCTCCCTTTTCCCCCGATGGGCTTCAGGCTGACTGCCGGGGGGTGTCAGAGCCCTGGGGGGTCTCCCCATCAGAGGGAGGAGATGTGCCAGGTGGCCCCCAGGCCAGTGTCCTGGGCGCCCCTGCCTTCACATGCTCCCTGGTTCTGTCTGCAAGGTGTGGGTTTCAGAAGATGGCGGTCAGATGAGGCTATGCTCCGTAGCAGGCCTCTTCCCGGTCCCCAAGGGACCCCTGAGACGCCCCCACTGCATCTACCTTTCCTGGCTGCTCAGGCTTAAGGGGACCCCTTTCGGAAAGCCCAGCACTGGGAAGGGGGGCATCTGTCTTGGACAAAATGAGGCCCGTGAGGGTGTGGAGGCCACCTGGTGCTGCCTTACCCAGTGTGGCAGGGCCCCCCAGGCGGGCACACGCCAGCAGAGGTCACGGAGGACCCTGAGGACAATCACACATGGCTGCAGGCCGCTGGCTCGAGCCTTGGGGGGAAAAAGTACACCGTCAGCTCAGGGAGCCACGTGCGCGAGGCCCGGGGCACAAGGGCTGATGCTCGGGCCGTGGGCCTGGCCCAGGAGGGACTCCGGGGGCCCGCACAGGCCGGCTGGCCTCAAGCATGGCAGCTGGGAGCGGAGTCCCTGCCCAAAGGGGCCCAGGCCACCTGAACGGTTCCAATTCGGAGCCCCTGGTACCCGCCATCGGGTGGCTGCATGGCCACGGCGTCCCCACCCCCGGTGCAGCGAGCACTCCGCTCACGTTCCCGACACGAGTGTCGGGTTCGCGCTTGGCGGGGAGACATGAGACACGGGCCAACCCGCGCGGCACCCCTGCCTCCTGACCTGGAACCACTTGGCGTGGCGGAGGGCAGCCAGTGACTGGAGGCACTTCTCTGGGCTCAGGACGTCACCTGGGTCGGACGGAGGCACCTGCATTCCCTCTAGAAGGAAAGGGCGTGTGGGCACAGAGCCCCTTCCCCTCCTCCCGCCTTCCTGGGCCCTCGGGTCTCTGGAAGGTATGGGGCTCCAGACCGTCTTTCCTCCAGGACACTGCGAGGACCGGAGAAGTCACGTCCCTGCAAATCCTCTCCCTCTGCGGTCCCCTGGTGAGCAAGTACAGTTCAGGTGGGAAACTATGAATGAAGCCACATTTCCAGAAACTAACAAGGGCATCAACCACAAGAGAGGAAGTGGGTCAGACTCCAACAGGTGCCTTCATTGATGGCGAAAGCCCCGAGTCCGGGAGAGACTCAGGCGCCTTTTCCTGCCTTCTTACTACTGCCTCACACTCCCCTCCTGGCTCCAGGAGGCCCCCGATCACAGAGGTCAGGCGATGGGACCGAGTGTCACTTGTGCATAAGTGTCCCCACACGTGGGTCGCGGGCCAACCCCTCCTTCAGGCTGAGATGAGCCGGCAGGGGTGTGTCTGCGAGGAGGGGCTTTCGAAGCTCCCCTCTGGTGACAGCCAGCCGGGGCCTGGACCCCCCTGCGGGGACACCGCGGGGGTCCCCTCCAGCCAGCCCCATTCAGCAGCCTCGGAGCGCTCACACTTGCCCACGCGCCTAGTCTGCCCCATTGGTGAGTCTGAGCAAAGCCCAGCGGGGCCTTCAGCTAGAATTTAATGATGTGGTTTTATCTCCCGTGTTTCTTAGACGACCATGACAACTGGTACTGTTTTCCACCAACAGTTCAAGGGTGCCACTCTTAAAAAACGTAAGTGACAAAAATGAACTGATTTAAAGAACGTTAGACGGTGGCCCTCTGCTATGACAAAACAATCGTGACGGAGGTTCGAGAATGACTGGAGCTTGGAAGACAGTCGCGGGGCTGTTCCGGGAGGTTCTGTGGCTCCCAGAGGCCCGCAGTGCGTTCCTGGAAGCTGGCCTTCACCACGTGGCCGTGACTCGAGCCCCTCGCTGCCCGCGGGCCTGGCCCAGCACCCTGCCCACTCCCTCCGGCGATGCCAACCCGCCTCAAGTCCCCTGAGCCCCCACGTCCCACACGAGAGGCTTTGCAACCCGCGGAGTCGGCTGCGGCCCCGGCTACACAAACACAAGGAATCACCCGAGCCCCGGGGACCCGGCCCAGCCGGTCTCCCTGGGTGGAGAGCAGGAGCCTATGCTGGCCCGGAGGCGAGGGGAGGATGACGGTGCTGCGCGCCCGAGGTGGGTGCCCCAGAGCGCACCACAGCCTGGGCTCTGTCGGCGGCCGCCCCGACGCCCAGCTCTTCTCTGACGGTGGCATCCAGGGCTCACCGAAGTGCCAGAAGGTCGTCGGCCGTGGCCCCCACCCCACTCAGCACACGGGCAGATGCTGCCCTCAGCCACCAGGGGGCGCAGGGCGTGGGGCGGGAGAGAAGGGTCTGGCCGCACCTTGGTCTGGGGAAGGGTCCTCCCGCATCAGGGGCGAGGTGAGGGACACAGTGACCCTCATCCTGGGCTCCTCGCAGGAGGAAATGATGATGATGTCTTCGGAGTCAGAGGAGACCTCGTACTTGTCTTCTGTCACCATCTATGAGGTGCAAATGCAACACGAGTCCATGTCACCCTGGCTGAGAAGCAAGGATGTGGCCGAGTGCTGGGCCCCGTGCTGGGCGCCTGGAACCGCCAAGGGACGGAGACGTAGCCCCTGGCCTGCGGGAGTGCACCTACGTAGCAGCGCGTACGGATAACAGACCCGGCATGTAGGTGCCTTCATATGTAAAGAATGCCTGCAGCTCAACAAGACCAGCAATCCAATTAGAAAAACAAACTGGTGAGTGACATAACAGGTAGCTTGCAGAAAAGAGACAGAAATGACTCTCTTTACGCAACAACAAAGATTACTCCCGTGGTAAGAAAGAAGGAAATTAAAACTGACGAGGTACCATCATCACCTGGGAGCACAGACCTCAAGAAGTGTGAAGCACAGCCGGGCTGGCAAACCCGGGCATCTATAAACTGCTGGGGGAGGCTGACCTGGCAACATTTACCAGAAACATCTGGTCTCACGTATTTGGCCAGCAATTCTGCCCCTGGGATAAGCTCTCACGTGCGTATGAGGTCACCTTCTCGCTGGAAACGACCTGAATGTCCAACTACACAGAAGGGCCCCTCAAGTTATAGACGAACAGCAGTGAAATGCTCGTCGGCCACACAACACAATGATGTTCCTTAAATATGCACATGAAGTTGGACCCAAGGGGCGCTAATTGAAAACAGCAAGATCCTTCAGCGGGTCTCGAACATGCTACGGTTTGGCACACCAGGGGAGAACAGGGAGAACCCATTCGGTGTTCAGGTTCCAGACAAGACCCAGGCCCCCTCTGGCTCTGGTCGCCACCCCCTGCCTGCCACAGGGGCCCAGGCACGGCCCCCGCCCCTCCCTGGGGGGTACCCTGAGCGGGTCACCCTCACAGGCAGGCCCTCGGGGGAGACTTCATAACGGATGCGGGTTTGGTGCAGTGCCCACTGCCTGGTAGAAGCCTTACAGCGTCCCTCGCCTTGTTTTGAAGTCCCTGAGACGTCTGGCCAGGGCTCCCCCGAGCTGCGCGGAGCTTCAGGCAGCTGTCTCTGCACCCCTAGAAATGCTCTCTGCCCCGGCTAAGCGGTCTTCCCCCACCTGGCCGGCACGGGGGTTCAAATGCTTCCCCCTCACCTCCCTGGACTTCATGCTGCTTCACATCTTCGTGCGGGGCCCGGAGAGCCCCAGGCCTGCCTCAGGGTGCCTGGGGCCTGCAGCACGGAGATGTGCACCCAGCACCCAGCATCCTCTGACGCCACCTGCATGCACGCCTGATGCCTGAATCACACCTTCCTCCTGCCTGCTACCCAGTCCCGTCCAGGGCCTCCTCCTGAGGGGGCCCCTGCGGGCGGCCCTGTCCATGGCGCTGGGGTGGGGTGCACTGCCCGCTCACCCACAGCCTGGGCTGTCTTCGTGAGCCTGCATCTGAGCCATGCCTGTGCCCCTGCAAGAGCTGGCAGGAAACCACTGTGTCATGGGTGTGAAGGAAACAGGTGTTTACTGGTTTATTTAAAAATTTATTTATCTGAGAGAGAAAGAGCGTGTGCGTTCATCTGTGAGAGTGGGGGTGGGTGGGGAGGAGCAGAGGAGGAGGGAGAGGGAGAGAGAGAACCTCAAGCAGACTCCCCACTGAGCACAGAGCCTGTCATGGGGCTCGATCCCCTGACCCCAAGATCATGGCCTGAGCCTGTATCAAGAGTTTGAGGCTTAACCGACTGAGCCATGGAAATGAGTATTTAAATCAACCAAGCGGCACTGTCACTCCTCTGCTCAAAACCCTCCTGTCTTCCCACTTCCCTGAGAACGCAGGCCTACCTGCTTGTATGGCCTTCAGGCCTGGTGTGATCTAGGCCCCCTTGTGCCGCCCCCAGGCCTCCTGCCGCTCGGCCGCTGCAGATGCAGGTCCTTCTACGTGGAACACTGTTCCCCCATCTTTCAAGGCCTCCCCTGTCGGGATGCACGCCTCCCCCCTCCCTGCCGGTGCTCCCTCCTTGGCCTCTGACTTTCATTTCTTCACAAACAGCACACAGGACATCCACTTGCTCTTCTGCTTGCTCGTGACCAGAGTGGGGGCCCCGGAGGGTGGGCCTGGGTCTGTGCAGCCCCCAGTGCTGGATTCTCCCGGGAGCAGAGACAGACTCACCAGGAAAGAGACCCCCTCCACCCCAGGATCGGACTTTTTTAACCTGAGATCATCTCAATCCTCCCCCAATCAAGGTCTCTGATGAGAACGTCCCATGACAGTCCAGAGAGGAGCCCAGGCAGCCTCCCGCTGTCCCCAAACGGGTTTTCTTTTTTTTTTTTTTAAAGATTTTTTATTTATTTGACAGTGAGAGAGAGAAACAAGCAGGGGGAGTGGGAGAGGGAGAAGCAGGCTTCCCGCGGGACAGGAGCCCGATGCGGGGCTCGATCCCAGGACCCCGGGATCGTGACCTGAGCCGAAGGCAGACGCCTAACGACTGAGCCACCCAGGCGCCCCTCCAAACAGGTTTTCACAGGGCCGCTCTCGACTCCCCACCACCAAGGGCCTTGTGCAGTGCTCGGCTCCACTCACCCCTGTAACGGCTAGTAAGTCACCATCCGTAGTGACGGGACAGTTACGTCATTTCTGAGTTTTACCCTAAATTCACTTTATAAAGGAACCCCGAAGTTCCCCCTCTCATCAACTTTTTTATAAAAACAACCTGGTCTGGGTCCAACAGCCACGTCTCTTGTTTCTTAGAACCGCGGGGGAACAAAGCCATCCCGTCTGGGGGCCGCACGCGGGGGCCACGGCGCTTACCCGCTTACCGGGAGCTGCCGGGGCAGCTGCTCGGAGACTCTCTGCAGGAGGGCGCGCGTGGGCTTCTGCAAGCAGAGCAGGGCCAGCCGCACCGTCCTGTCTCCCCGCAGGAGCAGGCCCTTCGCCAGGAGGCCGACCCGCATCACGCCCTTCAGGACCCGAGCTGAGGACGAGCCGCCGCTGTGAAGACAAGCCCACAAACGTGTGAGACCCACAGGGGAAGGGGGTCACGAGAAGGGGCTGCCACCAGGGTCCCCGACTCCTGTGCTGACGGGCTCCTTGCCGGGCCTCCGCCTCAGCTTCCGCATCTGTGAAATGGGCACGTGCCCCTGGGAACAAGCCCACCAAGTTGCGTGCTCAGTAAGGGCTGGCGGTTACTCCTTCCTGATAATGTGCATTCTGAGGAAGGCCACCAATGGCCATCCCCGTGGCCCCTGGTCCTCAGCCAGCTGGATCCGCCCGCAGGGGCCCTGGGCTCTGTGTCCCTCCCGAGTGTCTCTGGGGTCACTGTGCCCCCCACCTCAGCTCCTTGGCTGGGAGGCCCGTGCAGGTGCTCTGCTGGGAGCCTGCCCTCTCGCCTCCAGCCCACGTCCCGAGCCTGGCGGTGCCCCGCCCTGCAGCGTCCTGACTCGGGTCCCTGCTCGCTCACCCCTCTGAAGCCCAGGCCAGCTTGACTGCCTCTGCCTCGACATGTCCCCTCCCGGTGCTGCCCCTCTGCAGGTGGGGGGGTGGGGGACACCCCAGTTTCTCCCAGCCCGACCCGCAGCCTCCCTTGGTCCCAGTGCTCCAGCCCACGAGGCTGCTTCCCTCGCCAGGCCCTCTGCCTGGACACGCTCAGCAAGTCCCCCCTCCGCTCCAGGAGCCACTGCCGCTTGCTTTGTGACACTCCTCGGGATAGGAGGGGCCCTGGTTTTTAAAAATTCACTTATGTATTTCTTTTTAGGTAGGCTCCATGCCCAGCGAGGAGCCCAACGTGGGGTTTGAACTCACGACCCTGAGATGGAGACTCAAGACACTTAACCAACTGAGCCACCCAGGCGTCCCCATTTGTGTATTTATTGTTGGTTTCTGGACCACGTGCACCAGAGCCTAGCGCTGCCCGAGAGGACTGGGCCAGGAGGCCACCAGCAACACGCAGACGGGAGATGGCTGGACTTGGGGGAGGACCAGGGAGGGCAGAGGACAGCAGGGCAGGGGTATGTGTGGCAGGGGGGCCTGCAGACAAAGAGACTCAGGCTCGTCAATCAATCTGGATCCCAATTCACACCCACTGTAAAACCAAACAGCCCTAAACCCACAGTCTGATCTCTGTGGACCCTGCTTATCTGACGCTGTTGAAGTATAACGGCATTGTGGTTTTGTGAAGTCAAAACAGGAGCCCTCGCTGTTTAGGGCCGGCTCCTGGCCTCCCGGACAGCTCCCTTCTAAGAGATCATGTAGGACAGGGGACCACGGTCCAGGGACCCGCACTGGGCGCTCAGTGGGGCTTCACTGTTCCGTCAGCTTGTGTGGGAGAGAACCTCCACGGTAAGCGAAAACCCCCAGTGCTAACACGCTCTTTGCCACAACTGAGTACGCGACGGTTCACTATGACGCTCTGTAAAAAACGCATTTCCGTGTCTTTGAAAAATAAAGGACCTCACATGCGATTTGACGTAAATGTCATGTGAAAGCTTAAAGAACGAGGTCAGCTTTGTTTTTTGAGCCCAGACGCACCACGTGGAGGCTGACCTGCTGTCGTGGGGTCACGCGAATCTGCAGGTGCTCACACGACACTTGCGACAAGCTGGAACGGGACTCTGCCATTTTGCGCAAGGGTGCCGGGGGCAGCTGGGTGCACCCCTGCTTCTCTATCACGCGTGGGTGGAGGAGGGGCACTCTCCTAGGGGAGGCCATAGGTTTGAGCCCAGGGGACAGGACGACTCCCTGGAGCTCACTCACGAGGGGCACACGTGCGCTCCCCCAGGGCGCAGACACTGCGGTAATAAAAGGCTACTGAGGGGTACCAGCCGGACGCAAACGGGTGGACGCTGCAGGACCCCTCTTGCCTGTGCGTGCGGTGTCCGGGACGGGCTGAGCCGCGGGGACAGGAAGTGCAGTGGTGGGTGCCAGGGCGGGGGCAGGGGCGTGGGGAATTTAACAGGACAGATCTCCACATCAGGGGGTGAAAGAGCCCTGGAGGCAGACGGTGGTGATGGGCGCACCCCCGCATGCGTCCTCCGTGCCCCTGGCCCGTCCGCGCGAACGTGGCTGAGATGGTAAGTGCCACGGTGTATTTCAGCATCATGCAAACCTCTCAACAAGGAGACAAAGCAGCCACCCAGAGAGAAAGGGTTTGGAAAAGGGGACTTCCTCCCGGTCACAGGTGGGGGGCCTCCCCACCCGGACAGTCACGGCGCCTGGAACAGTGGCTCACGCAGGCACTTGGTGGCATCTCCTGCTCAGGGGGCCCTCACCGCCCCCGGAGGAAGGGGACGGGTCAGAATCACCCTTAATCTCCATTTCACAGATGAGAAACAGACTGGTTCACCCTTCGTAAAGGACATTTCTAGATGCATCTTCGATAGGAAATGTCAATTTGGGGAACGTTCTGTGGCAGGCTGGAAAGCCCCAGAGACCTCGAAGAGCTCAAAGCCAATCAGGGTGAGGCACCTCTGCCCTCCTGCAAGCCACGTCCTGTCCAGAACCCTGACCCTCCACCCGGGGGGGCCTCCCTGCCCCGCTCAGTCAGCCCGGGCCTTGGGAACAGAGTGACCCCCACTACCTGTGCTCACCGCCCGCGTGCTCTGGGCTTCCGGAGTTCTCCTCGGCCAGCGTGTCGGACACCAGCTTGAGGGCACGCTCCGAGTGCGACACGGCCCTCTGCACGGCCAGGAGCTCCTCCTCCGTGGGGTAGATGGTGGCGTGCTTATACAAGACGTGCCGGTCGTTGCTGGACTCCGGCCGCCGCGCACGCTGCTGGGAAAGGTGGGCTCGTCAAGGGCAGGCTGAAGGGCCCCGGGCACCCGGCGGGCAGGGGGCAGGGTGAGTGTCAGCCCCGCTGAGGCGCGGCGCGTGCAGCAGGGGGCCCTGGGGAGCCCCGGAGTCAGGCTGGCTTTGGGGGTGACAGGCAAGGGATAGCAAGAGCCAGGCGAAAGAAGGATGGGGACCCACGAGGCAGTGAACCAGTGAGGATGTGTGACCGCGTGGGGCCTGTGGGCTCCCCTTCGGTGATGTCCTTACATTTCTGCAGCTCTCCCCCCAAGCAAGGTGGGAATGGAAGGCTCCCATCCAACCCCGGGCCAGGCCTACCCGGACGGACGCTGAGGGCTCCGCAGGGAAGTGGGGCCCCGGCCCGGGGTTCCTGTTGGTGACCAGTGTTGGGGCTGGGCTATGGCCCGCAGGACCTGCCAGTTCCCAACCCTGGGCACCTCTCGGGGGTCTTGGTTCAAAGTTGTGTTCCTCGCTCCTGGAGGATTCAGGTCTTTCTAGCGAGGGCCCGAGTAGCTCACCCGCCCGCAGGGCCTCCACCGAGGGAGGCATTTTGGCACAAAGACAAGGCCACCACCCACCAGAGGTGAGCTGGCAGGCGCCCCCGGCCTGCTCGTGAGGGAAGGAGAGTGCTGGTCGGGTGGTGAGGGTCCAGGGTGCTCATCCGGGGCCTGGGGCCCCTCCTCCGGTCGCCTCCTGCACAGCTGCTCGTGCCTGCAGGGAACCAGGGAAACAGGCTCCTCTAAGCGGCTGTGGGACCCCCGGGCTGTGGCATCAGAAGCACCCCTTGTCCTGAGGCTGAGCAAGGCTGGGGCTCCAGGACCACCAGGGAGAGGTGCCGCCGCCTGACGGGGCCCCAAGAGCCCAGGACACGGGTCCTGCACCCATGCCCGCCATGGGCCAGGGAGACTGAGGCGAGGTGGGCCTAGAGGACAGAGGCCAAGGGCAACAGGTGGGGAAGGAGGGGACAGCTACAGCCCTGGGTCTGTCCTAGGCTTTGTTCCCCAGCTCCGACACTGCCCGGATCCTCCATCAATCAGACACCATGTCAGAAAACGCTTTTAAATTGCTCCAAGGGGTGGAAGAGGACATGACAAATGTGTGGGTGGTCAGGGGACACCAGGGTCAGGGGAACACAAGGAACACTAAGGTTTAGGGGAGACCAGAGATCAGGGGAACACCAGAGGTCAGGGGACACTGGGGGTAAGATAGACACAGGAGGTCAGGGGGACACTGGGGTCAGAGAACATACGTCAAGGACACACAGGAGGTCAAGGGACACCAGGGGTCAAGGGAACACTGGGGTCAGGGTGCATGGAGACCCAGGGCATCCCTGTGAATGGGGGCCCAGAGCGCCTGCCCATGGTTGCGGGGACTGTGCTGTCCTATGTTTATGTTATGTGACACACAGGTCCTCAGCGTGACCGTCTCCCCCCAAGGGCAGTGTCCCGTGGCCACATTGCAGGGGTGAGCCCCTGGGTCCCTGCACCCGAAAGCGAGCAGAGGGTGTTCGGGGAGTGAGGGCGGCCTGGCAGGGACCCCAGCAGGGACCCCGCGTACCAGCACCGCATCTCCTCGAGCCGCTTCCTGGTCAGCTGCCTCTGCTTCCTCAGCCTGGCCTCCAGCAGCTTCCGAGCTCTGTGGCTGGGCTTCACCGCAAACGGGAGGTCAGGGTCCACCTTTTTCTGGAAAGGGCAGGAAGGGCTGTGAGAAGGGAGACCTTCATTTCGACAAGTGCCAGGAGCCCCAGGAGCCCCCACGGCCACACCCTTCTGCGGGCTGACTCAACAGTCGGGGCTCCATCCCCCAGAGTCCTAACACTCGGGACCCGGGCGCCACAAAACAGGGAGCTTCCACGGGGAGCACGGCCGCGATGCGTGCGCAGCCAGGGAAGAAGGAAATTCGGCCCCACCGTGAGACACCCTCACTGACCACGGATGGGTCGCGGCAGAGCCAACGCCAAGTGCGTATTTCTAAGCGAGCTAACTCGGGAAACACCATCTGCGTGAAATCCAGCAATCCGCGTTTTCAATAGCACTGCAGATTCTCTTGCTGAACGTAGTTTATGGTGCTTCCTTCATCATTCACAAGGCGCAGTGCTGTCCAGGGACCATTCACTGCTGGCAATGGTCCACGGGTCCATCGACGGATGGACCGATACACACAATGTGTCCCCCATGCACTGGAGCGTCCCTCGGCCACAAGCAGGAGCGAGGCGCCCACACGCGCGGCCCCGGGGACGGACCCCGAGCCCACGACGCTCAGGGAGGGATCCAGACACAGAAGGCCACACGGGGTGTGAGTCCATTTATGTGAAACATCCAGAACAGGCTCATCCATGGACGGGAAGGGGACTCGTGGGACAGTATGTGGGGGTGACTGCTAATGGGGATGGGGCTTCACTTTGGGGAGATGGAATATTCTGGAACTAGAGAGGTAAGGGTCACAGCTCTGTGAATCCACAGTAGTAAAAGCCATGAAACCGTACCCTTTATGTGGGTGAGTCGTGTGGCGTGTGAACGACACCTCAATGCAGCAGCTAGAAAGGGGGGGTGTGCATGCGTGATGACGTGCCCACTGCCCCGCGAACCTATGAGGGAAGGCCTGGGGAAGGCAGCCGACCACCCCTCCTCTGGTGGAGCCCACAGGGTGGAAGGGCCCACGGGCCACCCCCCTGGGCGGGTAGTGGTGCGCCCCGACAAGGGCCCTGCTGGTGCTGGAGGCCTCAGCACCCGTCACCCCGGCTCCTCGGAGGACCGGCTCCCAGGGGACACTCAGCCTGGACAGCCCAGCGCCCCCGCCGCAGCAGCGGCCCCTGGGTCACGACCTCCAGCCCCCAGGCTCCCCCCTTGCCCCCGCACCCCGGCTCAGCTGCATCTGTGAACCTGTTCCGTGTGCTCGGGGACCCCTCCAGCAACAAGCGGGTCCAGAGCCGAGACGCCACGGGAAACACAGCTAGTGCTGGGTCTCCTGCAGGCTCCAGGCAGCGGGAACACGGGGGACAGGCCCGCGGGGCCCGGAGCGCCTGTCGGGGGCACGGGGAGGAAGCCTGGCCGGTCAGCCCCCGCCGCCCTCGCCCAGCCCCGCACACCTTGTGCTGCAGCCAGTGCCGCCGTCCCCGCACGTGCGTGTCCCTGGCCGTGGCGTCGCCGAAACTGCACTCGCACAGCCTGCACTGGAACCGGACCACCTTGCCTTCCTCGTTGCGCACCTGAGACACAGAGCCCCGCTGAGCTGGCCGCTGCCCACGCGGTGCGTCTGGCCCCTGGGCAGGGGCACCCTCCTCCCCTCGGGGGCACCGAGCCTTCCCGGGAGGCCTGCGTGCTGGCGTCCTGCCTGCCAAGCGGGCTTCGGGGGAGCCGGCGTGTCACCAACGCACCCTCCCGTGCCCCGGCTGCCCTCGGCCACTGTCCTGTCCCGTCCCCCCACCCCCTCCCCGCCCCGGGCGCGGACACCCATGGCCTGTCCCGCACAGCCCCTGCCTCTGTTCCGTCCTGAGTTCCACCCGTCACAGGCCCTGCTGTGCTTCCTGAGGCTTTTATGCACCTGATCGTCTCCTCAACTCCGAAATGCCAGGGCTGCCTAGGCAGGCCTCCTATCTGGGGTGGCAACTTTTCACGGGTCAAAACCAGAAAACACGCTAATGCTCACACTTCCTTTCAGCCACTGAGGGGGAGCCTGAGAACTAGGGAAGCGGCCAGGGGAGGCGCTTCCAAATCTGGTTCTAGAAGCTGTTCCAGGCAGGCCTTGCAGGCTCCGGGCATAGGGGCGGTGCCCACGGAGGTTGCACACCGGCTCCTGATGCCCAGGATCCCGTGCCTCTGTCTGTCTCAGGCCTTCCTTCTAAGATCTGAAACCCGGTGCCTGGACCTTCCAGTGAGTTCCGCAAGACGTTACGGCTCACTGTGGACTGCCCGTGGACAGGTGTGTACATCTCAGATGGAGACCCGGGGCGCGCTCTTGAAGCCTGAGCCCTGCTGGAGTCCTTCACCACAGCCTAGAGGGGGAGCAGGGTACACGCCGACGGCCCAGGGCACGGCAGCGGCCTGGCAGTTACCTCTTCCACATAGTCTGGGCCCACTGGCTGCGCATCACAGCTTCCAGAAGCTTCTGCAGAGTCTCCTCTGGCGGGCGGATCTCTGGGCCCATCTGGTGCGGGGTGTGCCCGTTTGCCCTTTGGGGCCCTGCTGCTCGCCACCTGAGGCTTGGAAGGCCCTGGAAGGAAAAGCTGGGCTGCTCATGACCTGCTCCAGCCAGAAACCAGGGCCCGCATCAAGTGTGGAATGCGATGCAAACCAAGGTCTCCCACTGCGCATTCACCCCCTTGTGACATCAGTCAGATTCCCGGTCCTGAAAGACCCCTTCCGTGCCAGCTTGGGTCGCAGCTGAGAGCACCAGGCCCACGCAGCAGTTGGTGCCCACCTGAACACGTCCACGGGGAGGCCCCGGTGGCAGGCCCCTCGTGGAGGAGCCGTGGCCGCACCACTCTGCAGCCCCTAGGTAGCCGAAGATGGACTTCCAGGTGGACCCGGGGTCATGGTCAAGCTAGCCCCCCAGCAAATTCACTGGGCGCCAGAGGGGAGACGGGTCTCTGTTACCACACTGCTCTCTGGTTTGGAGTTCAATATCATGTGGTGATTCAAAACACAGTGCAGCTGAGGCTCAAAATAAATCCTCCTCCCCTTCCTGGGCAAAGCTCAGTGGTGGAGAGCAGAGCCCGTGGGATGGCCCTGGGTCTGAATCCCACCTCCACTACGGATGAGGTGGCCCAGGGCCAGGTACGTGACCTTGCCTCACCTCTGGCTGTCCCTCTGCAAACCGGGATTACGACAGAACCTACTTTCCAGAAAAGAGTCGCGGAGGGCAAATCAGGAATGCCGCAAAGCAGTCAGCGGAGTGTCTCCCACGGACCCTAGCTGTTGCCACCCAATCCGCGTCACCAGGCAGGCCACACACAGGGGAGATGGGGCTGCAGGGGGGGGGCCAAGGAGCCCCCCTCAATTTCCTGAGACCCACATAACTCATCGGAGCCCTGAGCACATGTTCACCCTGAGCACTGGGGCGTGAGTCATGCTGCCACCGGACTACGGGCTCTGCCCACGCTTCCCAAGGGTGTGGCCTGAGGTGGCCAGAATGTGGGAGAGAAGGCGTGCCTCTCACCATCCCCACCCTCCATCCAGGGCTTAGCCCCTCTAGAGAGAAGTGACGGCTCTGACGCATGCCCACAGTTAACAGGTCAAGTGCTTCTTTGAGATCCCAGCAGGAGGAACGAGTCAGAGCGTGGGCGTGGGGCTGTGACACGTACCCACGCTCCTGGCCAGCGCTGGCTTGCTCAGGGCGCACACGCCGGGGCCAGCAGGGGCTGTGGGCTTAGCAGAGGCCAGGGGGGGACTCTCCGTGGCGACGGGGGCCGGCTTGCTGGTGCAGGTGGCCTGGGCTGAGCTGGAGTCCCCCAGCACTGGTTCACTGGTAGGGATGGGCTTCCCCAACTCAGGGTGCACCTTCAAGACCTGGAACAGACCCAGGCCCCCTGTCAGGGCCACCACCGAGCCTGATCAGACTTCCTCAAGAGGCAGGAAGAGGGGGCGCCTGGGTGGCTCAGTCGGTTAAGCGACTGCCTTCGGCTCAGGTCATGATCCTGGAGTCCCGGGATCGAGTCCCGCATCGGGCTCCCTGCTCGGCAGGGAGTCTGCTTCTCCCTCTGACCCTCCTCCCTCTCATGCTCTTTGTCTCTCATTCTCTCTCGCAAATAAATAAATAAAATCTTAAAAAAAAAAAAAAAAGAGGCAGGAAGAGCACGTGGTGGGTGGAGGGGGCTGGCAACCTGTGGGAGGGAGGATGCCGGTCCCATCCCAGGCCCCAGCGGCATGCCCTTGGCTCCCAGGCATCACTCCCTCTAGAAGATCCTTCCTGCTTCCAGGCCCCGTTCAATGCACTTATTGGAAGGACCGTCCCACCGCCCGCAGCATCTTCCCGGACAAGCACCTCAGACCTGTTCTCAGGCTCCAAGTCTCTGACACTCACAGCTCAGACCTGCCTCCACCCAGAGCTGGTTGCAGGTTCTCCCCGGCCCCCAGAACGGCCCACTCTTCCTGGGTCCCAGTTCTCCTGCCTGCACCCCTGCATGGCCAGGCCTGTGCATCCCCTTTTCTCACTTCTCCTCCACCTGCTCACTTCCCCTCCTCCACATGTCTGCTCTTGCCTTTGTGGGTTTTGTGGATTTGCTCGAGCTTTCGAGAGCCTGCCCCAGCTGGGCCGAAGGAGGGGAGAAGACAGGTCCTCAGGCAGGTGATCTGAGGGTGGCCCAGCTCTGCAGTGGGGAGCTGGAGGAGGGCTGGCCGCGGGGGAGGGTAGAAGCAAAGGCCCTGGGGGCAGGAGGGAGGTGGGCCTGGGCACCGGGAGGAGGTTCTGTGTGGGGCCACGAGACAGGGGCCTTCCTAATTGTCCTGCTGGTGACTACATGGGAGAAGCTGGTGTCCTGCCAGGCACTCCTCCTGCCTGCAGCGCACACTGCCCCCCAAGAGAGCATTATCTTGCAGGTTATCAATACCATTTGGGAAGGGCTGCTGCTTTTCGCAAAGCTCCCTCTGGAGCACGGCAAGGGCAGGCCCCGGGGAGAGAGATGGGGGTCTCCCTACCTTCTCTCGGGTGGGGGATCCCATCAAGTTTCTCCATGAGCTGACATAAGACAGGCACTTTTAAGGCCACAGAAAATGTTGATTGCTATCAACAATCAATATGAAAAGCACGGATATTAAATTATTCCCTATCAATTAAAACACTATCAAAATTGACATGAAACCTTACTGTTTGAATTGTATTAACTGAATTGGATCTGCTTAATTTTTTTTTTTTTAAAGATTTTATTTATTTATTCATGAGAGACACAGAGAGAGAGACGCAGAGGGAGAAGCAGGCTCCTTGCTGAGCGGGGAGCCCGATGCGGGACTCGATCCCAGGACCCTGGGATCATGACCTGAGCCGAAGGCAGACGCCCAACCATCTGAGCCACCCAGGCGCCCTGGATCTGCTTAATTTTTAAAAAGCAGAACCCCAAAGGGACCGTGCAGTTTGACCTCATCAACAAACTCTTGTTTCTACAAACGTGTAAATACCTAAGGTTTCCCCTGCAGTCTGGGAACAAGCCCCCCCTCACCATTGGCCCAGGGGGCGGGTGAGACTTCTGTAATATTCTGAGGAATGGAACAGCATGGGCCCCACAGGAAGAGCTTCCTGTCGTTTGCGGCCCCCTCGATGCCGGGGGCCTGGGAGGGCTCCTACCTTCTGGTGCCTGGCGCCCCGGATGTGAGCGGCGTAGGCATCCGGCCCCGGGCACCACACGGCACAGAGGCCACAGCCCAGCCGCGCTGGCACCCTGCCCAGGCCACCGCTGGCCTGGGTGCCCGTCTTCTGGGCCGCCTCTTTCTTTTTGTGCTTCTGCCCCTCCAGGTGCTCGCGGTAGGCCTGCAGGCAGAGAGCGAGAGCGGCCTGAGAGGTGTGCGCGCAGTTCACTCCCGGGGGAGACCCAGGCCGCCGCCCCCCTCCCTCCGCTCACCAGCCGCCCGGACGCTCGGTGCGCCTTTGTTAAACCCAGTCCACGGGCCAGAAGCTCAGCCTGAACCCCAGAAGGTTTCTTTTTCTCTCTAAAAGTGGATGAGCTGCTTTCGCTTCAGGGGCTACTCGGAAGGAAAATGCTGGCTTTTCAGAATCTAACCTCAGAAACCACACGAAGACAGCCGCTACCTGAATCACACGGGGCACACCTCCTTTTCAGAAGGCGGCTAACACACGGAGGGGTCCGGGCGAGAGAGGGTGCGTGAGTCACAGGCCCGCGCATGCCACACCACCGTGCCCGAGGTGACCAAGCTCTTAAGTGGCATCCCACACTCCTCTCTGGCAATCCTTAAGGTGAGGCCGGCTGCAATAAACACGCTCCAAGTGGGTCAGCTCAACCAATGCACCCTGACTATGCCAAGACTCGGGCTGCCCTGGTGACATGGACCAGTGACATGTGGTGGTTCTGGGGCAGACGGGAGGCAGGGACAGGAGCCGGAGGGGTACTGGCTGGAATTCAGGAAACTTTTGAACATCTGCCTGAGCAACAGCGTGCGTGCAGAAACACACACACACACACACACACACACGCCAGGTAAAAGCCTGTGGGGCAGAGAAAAGCCTGGAAGGATAGACCCAGTGATGCTAACAGGAAACATCTGCAAGTGTAGTGAGTAGGGCAGTTCCCGCCCACATCCTACATGCACGCCAGTTAAACCACACAGCTTCGACCAACCGTGGTCTGATTTCCAGTCCCACGTCCCCGGTTCTGCGCCCCAGGCCTTCCCCTGGCACGTGGAGGTAGAGGCCGCAGTTGGCAGCAGGAGACGACCCGCAGAAGGTGCTGTGCAGGGTCCTAAGCTCAAAGTAAGAGGGAGCGTTCGCGGCTGTCTTCCCCCCACGGGGCCCCCCACCGTAAACACGTGTTCAGGGTGTGACGAGAGAAAAAGCAGGGAGGCGCGCTGGGAAGAGGCCTGCCCGGTGCTCCTGCAGGTCCGAGGGCTCCCCCTGGCCCCGCAGGGCTCGCCCGGAGGCCACACGGCCAAGTGAGTTCACACAGAACAAGACGCACACGCACGTGCCCGTGGGGACAGGTGAAGTGGCAGACGTGAGGAAGAAGGACGCTTGATCAATGTCAACACCCTGGCTGGGAGACTGGCTGCAGTTTGGCCAACTGATGGCAGTGGGGAAGCTGGGCCAGGGGGTACAAGGACCTCTCTGAGTCATTACTCACAACCGCCTGCGAACCTACAACTTTCTCAGTAAAAATTCCAGTTTGAAGAGTGCTATTAACCTCAGCAAAAAGCTGGGAACGACGAGAGCTCTCATTTCTGAGGCACGCTGCATGCGTGGGGACACGCTCGGGCAAACCCTGTCACCACAGCTGTCCCCGAGAACAGCTCAGACCCCTGCTCAGGTGACAGGCAGCACGAGGCTGGGTTCCATCCTACCCCACATCACGCATGTGTCCCCTTCGTGGGGAGCGATCCGCACTCGCGCAACACAGTGCCCTGAAGGGTCTAGAACTAGGAGCAGAGGCTTGTGTTTGAGCTGTGAGAGGAACCAAGAATCCCCGAGATACAGAATAAAAATCACGTGGAGAAGTAAAGACAGACCTCCCGTTAACGAGCGCGAGTCTCAGCGGGAAGAGCGCACAGGAGGTTCGATCAAGAGGCCTGTAGAGACAGCAGGAGACGGGAAAGGGCCTTGGCCCCCCAGGTAAGTGGGGGCTGGATGAGGGGTCTCCCCATGCACCCTGATAGCCTGTGATCCCAGGGTCTATGCACCCCGCCAGCTTTCTCTCAGAGTATTAAAAAGACGACAACACTAGCGCGTGGTTCTCTGGGAGCATGGAGCCCTGGTGTCTGACGACCTCTCCAGAGAACTAGCTGGGTGATCTGTGAGTGTGGCTGGGGGATCTCCCTTAGACAACAAGCGCGCACACACGCGTGCCCACGCTTGCTTCCCTCCACCCGAGGCCCTGCTTGAGCCGCCCTGCAGCGAAGGCGCGCCACCCCCAGGCGCCTCTTGGAACTGCGCCTGCCGCACCCATCGCCGCGCGGAGGAGGGGCTCTGACCACACCGCCCACTCCGGCAAGGGGAGCCCCAGACCACGTTGCTGCCGCCAGCAGTCCGGCCGTGCCTGCCCTTCTGTCCTCTGCACGCACGCCTGAAAGGCACATCTGACGTGCACTTGACACCGCCAGTTTAATAACAGGCCTTCTCGGGTAGGCAACACCCCTGATGTCCGGTTAGCCAGGTCGGGGATGGGGCTCTCCCAGCCCAAGGCGGGCAGCAGGGTCCCCAGGAAGGTCCTCTGGGCCTGCTCAGCGGGCGCGGAGGGCAGCTGACCTGGGGACCAGAGCAGCTGATCTTGCAGACGTCACAGTAGTGAAGCGGAGGCTCCCTGGGGCCACCCTTGGGTTTCGGCAGCTTGCGGGGAGCCAGGAGCTTGCCAGAGAGGCTGCCGGCAGACCTGGCCCTGGGACTGCTTCCTGGGCCGCCCCACAGGGAGCCCGGAGGCTGCTGGGGAGGCGGTGGCAGCTGGAGGGGCAGCGGTGGGGGACACTGAGGACCGGCTGCCGAGTGCGCCGCTGCTTCATAGCTCGGGTAGCTTGGTCCTAGGAAGCAGAGAGAAAAACCAGACAGAGGGAGACGGGTTGGTTTTGAGGACGCTACGAGAGGCATAGCCTGTGCCTGCGTGCACACGGGAATGCGTCTTACCCGCGTCCGGGGCAGAGGTGGGGCTGTAGGAGGTCAGGGCGTAGGAAGGCAGGGTGGAGACGGAGGCCAGGGGCAGAGCGCTGGTCGCCAGTGGGTAGGGGTAGTTCTCGGTGTAGCTCAAGGCCAGGGCGCTGGCTGGCTGCCCTGCCTCGGCAGTGGCCACTGGTTGCAGGGGCTGCACTGGGCTGTGCCCTCCACTGCGCTGGACAGGAGTTCCTTTAGTCCCTGGAGGGCAAGCAGAACCTCTCTGCAAAGCCACCCTTTGCCACAAACCCCCAGTGGACAGCAGGAGCCATGTTCTCCCTGTAACCGTGGCAACTGGCCTCCCCAGGCCCCTACTGGCCACAACCGCCTGCAAGTCCAGAGCCCCATGCTCTCCCATCTTGAAACTCCAAGTCCTCAGCAGAACTCACCTCCTTCCCGCCTGGGAAAGCCTCCTCAGAATAAAACTGGTTGGCTCCCCTTTTAGTTCGGTCTCTTTCCTTCCCGCCCTCCCTCTCCCCTATACCAGCCCAACGCCCAGCGGAGCCTTCAGGCATGCTGGAGAAGAGAGCCCTGAGACTCCCGGCCCTCCTACGCATCCGGAAAGTTTGAAGTGTGACTCTGCGGGGGCTCCTCCCTGGGTAGACCCAGTGGCTCCTTGCAGAGACGCACCTGGCTGGCAGGCTGAGGCCGTGGCCATGGCCAGGAGCTGAGGCTGGCTGGCAGCAGGCAGGTGATACCGCTTGTTCTCGAAGCTACCGTAGCTACCCGCATCTGTCGACGGTCCGTAGCTGTAACTGTCCTGCGAGGGGGTTACCAGAGCGACACAGAGCAGGGAGGAAGCCCCTCAGGGCAGCGGCAAGGTGTGCCCTTGCTCACCCCACACGTGGCGCGCGTTCACACGGTTCCTGAGCTCCCGCTCTAAGCCAGGCCATTTCAGGAGCTGGGGACACAGTAACCGGTGACATGGATGCGGCCGCCCTCGTGGAAATGTTAACATCTGAGCGCAGAAGTGCTCTGCGGAATGCCTAGCTTGGAGACGGCTCCTCGGAGGAGGAGCGGTACAGGGAAGGCAGGAGGTGAAGACGTTGGGGGCCGGGTTCCCAGCAGGGTCAGCCAGATGCAGAGGCCCCCACATGGAGTCAGCTGGTGGGCTTGCCAGAGACCAGAGGGCGGGAAGAAAAGGGAGGAAGAAGGTGGAACCAGATAATGTGAGCTCTGCTAGGTGGGCAGCCTGTGGTCCATCCACTGACATTAGGGGGTACCAGCGGTGGGTGGCAGAGGCTCAGGGGGATTGGACCATGTCCAGCATGGGACACGTTGGCAATTCCAAGCGGCAATGCAGAGGCCAGATCTCTAGGCCCAGAGCTCGGGGAGGGAAAGATGGCATCATGAGCACCAGAAGTGCCCGATGAGCACAAGCTCATTCCCTGCTCATTGTCAGGGGCAGGGACGAGATCCGGAAGGTAAGTCTGTGTCCCCGTCTGTCTGCCCGTAAGGGGCGCCCACTGCACATGCCCCTCAGTGTTATCCGGCGCTAGTCAAAGAAAGGCCAGGCTGATACCTGGTAGGAGGGAGCCATGGTGTGTGCCGGGGCAGGGTCCTGGGGCTGGCTGGAGTGGAGCTGGTACCCACCATACCCCGCTGGGGTGACAGGCCTGGGGGGCGGGGCAGCCGCGGGAAACGGTGGGGTCAAAGCGGGACCCATTCCAGCAGCAGGTCCCGTGGCGAGGCTGGCTCCAGTGGTGGGGAGGGGAAAAGCCATCGGAGGCTGGGTGCTGGAACCACAGATAAACACAAAAGCTGGCTACATCAGATGAGCTCTAAGTTCCATCAGCCCCCAGGCGTCGGCGGCTCTGGATGCTACAGTGAATCCGTGCTTTCTGTGATTAACGGTTCTTAAGACCTTTCTATAGGAGCAGGCTTGGGTTTAAGCACTTTATACAAAATAACACAAGGTCCTAACAACTCTGTGAGTCAGGGACCCTCCTTGTCCCCGTTTACCAGAGAGGAAACTGAGGCACAGTAAGTGGCAAAGTCAGAACCTGAGCCCGTTGGTCGACTTCTCAGCTCATCTGTGTGGGCAGCAAGCTTTCTCTGGACATCAAGATTCTTCAAAGAAAGCTGGACTTGAACGGTATTTTGTAACTGAGGAACGAATGGATCCCCAATCATTAAAATACAGAAGATCAGTTAACACGGAACTAAACTCATAGTCACGAGAACCCGTTTTATTGCCAGCTTGCTCTGCACAGCACTGAGGCCTCTGTCTATACCACCTCATTCTCCCATCTGCCTGTCCGTCAGTCCTGTGTCTGAATGCGGAAACTCTGAGGATCATGACACGGGTCAAGTGCTCGATTCAGACAAGATGTTTGCGACCCAAGTGCCCCTCACGCTACTAAATATCAGTCACTGAGTAGACGGTCCTCATCAAAGTCCCTTTGTCTGGGAAGGTATCATCAAACTTTTAGCCCCATCATGGATCCCATGAAGGTCCTGTGAACCCTGCAGGGGACGAGGATGGATGTGCACGTGGGGTTTCGGCAGGCAGGCCTGGGGACAAAAGTACCTTCGCACACGTTCTGGACCAAAGCTAGCCATGCAATGACTGCCGAGCCGCCCCTGTCCCTCTGCGTGGCTTGCTGCCCAGCTGGGACAACACAGGGAGCGCTGTCCAGGCTGGTCAACCACACAGAGTCGAGTGCAAACTCTCCTCGCGGGAGCTGGGGACCAGCAGAGCCTGGGGCCTCAACCCTGCCGGGGGCCCGCCCACCTCCTCGCTGGCATCTCTGTCCCCCTGGCAGCCAGAGCACAGCATAAACCTGCCCACGTCGCCCTCCTGCTTGGAACCCTTCAAGGCTCCGAAACGCAGCCCTGAAGCCCATGCACCCCATCATCCCCTCCTGTAGGTCGCCGCTCGAATGTCACCTCCTCCAACAAGGCCTCTCTGAGCCCGTCTAGGACAGCAGCAGCATCCCGTCCCCGTCGCCCTGCTGGAGTTTTCTTCCCAGTACCACCTGATCCTCTGACTTGTCTGTCCCCTGGTCGTCCCCTCCCCCACAGCATGAGGCCACAGGGGCACAGGAAGGGCAGGCGGGTGGGGGCAGCCCCTGCAGCTCCCATCTACAGCGGCTTTCTAGATTCCATCGAAGGCAGCATCCTGGACCCCAGGGGCCACTCCTAGGTGCAATGCCACCGTCCAAACAATTCGAAATCCGCAGCTCTACAGTGAAATTACAACACAACGGGAAGCCAGACCTCCGACCTGTAACACGAGATGCCTTCATCTCTCCAGGAAAATCGGAAGCACCCTATCTGCTGTGAAGGAGCACTGAGATTTCTCAAGTCAGCCACTTGTGAGATTCATGGGTCTCTTCTGTCTTAGAGACTTTCTTGGTCAAAAGGCAGATGGAGCTGAGGAATGGAATTCAACACTTAGTTTCATTTTAATTAATTTAGGTTTCGCAGTGGAAGGCGCAGAGAGAGAACATTTGCGTCATCACAAAAGTCCTCTGGGGCGGTGCCGCATGCGAAGTCCTCACCCATCACAAACACACACTCGTTTACTGAGAAGCACACAAGCATCTCGGCCCCCTCCCTGTTCAGGCCCTGGGGAGACCCTTCTCCCCACCTCTTGCTCTAGAACATGAAAGCAAAATCCAACACTCATACATAATGATCCAGCCTCAGAAAGGAAGGGACCCTGACACCTGACACGACGTGGAGGGACCCCGAGGACACCGTGCTCAGTGAGAGGAGCCAGACACAGAAGGACGACCCCACTCCCAGGAGGTCCCCAGAGGAGTCCCGTCCACACAGAGAGGAGAGGGTGGGAGCCGGGGCTGGGGTGGGGGTGGGGAGTCCGTGCTTCATGGGGACAGAGTCTCCGTGTGGGGAGATGGAAAGTTCTGGAGACAGAGGGCGGGGGTGGTCGCAGGGCAGGGTGAGTGTGCTTCATGCCGCTGAGCTGTGCGCTTAGAGACGGTCCAATGGTACATTTTATGTCGTGTCTATTTCACTACAATAAAAAGAGACCTCATAACCACTACCAGTCACTCCCCATCCCCCCCCATATATTTTGTCTTAATGTTTAACATTTTTTAATATTTTAAGAAACTTTTTAGACACACATGAAAAATTATGTTGATTTTTTCATGTTTTACATTTAGTCACTCAGCATTTCTGATGAATATACATCTGCTTTGCACACTTCAGCTGTAACTGCATTTTAAGGTTGGATCTTTTTTTTTTTTTTTAAAGATTTTATTTATTTATTCATGAGAGACAGAAACAGAGGTAGAAGCAGGCTCCCAAGGAGCGGGAAGCCCAATGCGGGACTCGATCCCAGGACCCTGGGATCATGACCTGAGCCGAAGGCAGACGCTTAACCATCTGAGCCACCCAGGCACCCTTAAGGTTGGATCTTTTAGCTCAGCCTTTCTCAACTGGGATTCCAGCAGAAACGAAGGCCTCGTGCCCCCAGGCATCCGTGTGGGTAAGAACTCACGTCCCTCTGAGGATCCTGGGATGGCGCTCGCTGTGGCTCGTCCCTATGGGGACTCGGCTCTCCGACCATCTCCTGTGTTCGGCAGCTCTGAGATGGAACCCTGATCAGGAAAGGGACTGTGTGGGTTTGCTCAGGCGCCATTACAAAGTCCCACCGACAGGACAGCCTCAACAACAGACAGTCCTGTTGGGCCGGAACCAAGATCAAGGAGTTGGCAGGGGCGGTTCCTCCCAAGGCGTCTCTCCTGGGCATGTAGACACCATCTTCTTCCCTGTCCTCACAGGGCCGTCCCTCTATGCGTGTCTGTGTCCCCATCGCCTCTTACAGGGACGCCGGTCATACTGGCTTAGGGCCCACCTCTGTGACCACATTTTGACTTAATCACTGCTTTTAAAGGTCCCGTCTCCAAGTACAACAGTCACAGTGTGAGTGAGGTCCTGGGGGTTAGCACTTCCACATATAAATTTTAGGGAGGACACAAGTCAGCCCATCCATGACAGCTGCTTCAGGCCATTATAGTAGCAAAACTCAGATGACATGAAAATCTTGGTTACACAAACATCATTCATGCTGAAATAATATAAATAAATGAAATTCAAAAAATACATTTTACAAAATAATCATTTATGAATGTTATTTTATTTAAGACATCCAAATAGCCCTGGCCCATCAACAGAATGCCCAGACATGCATGATAATAAAGTCAGTCATCTTTGATGTTTTGCCAACCAGAAAAACCTTAGCCCCCCCTTGTTTTTTTTTGGTCATTAGAAACGTACATTTGTCAAGGTAGGTAAGAGAAACCATACTGTATTTAACTTTTAGCCAGTTTGGTTAATGATGTTAAAGTATTTAGATGTATGGTATGCAGTCCGTTTGTACTTTCATCCTGGGCCCCCCAAACTTAAAGGCTGATTCTTTACTCATTTGAATGGATCACAATTCAGTTGCCTAACTTCCTACTGGTAGACATTTATATTACGTGTTATGTACTGCTGAGTCAAAAACTATCCCCAGTGCTGTGGTTCCAAACAATAATACTGATCTTCAGCCTCTGCGGGTCAGGAACACAGGAGTGGCTTGGCTGGGCTCTAGGCTCATGGCCTTTCTGAGGTTGCCCACGAGACGTTGGCTGGGGCGGCATCATCTGAAGGCTTGACTGGGGTGGCGGGCTCTGCTTCCTGGATGTTCCCTCACACAGCGGGCACTTTGGTTCTAGTTGTCTGCAAGAAGCCTTGGGTCCTCTTGTGTGGGCTCGTCTCAGTACTGCTTGAGTATTCTTACAACATAGCAACTAGCTTCCCCCAGAGAGAAAACAGAGAGTCTGGGGTGCGGAAGCTGGACTTGTCATGACCCAGCCTCTGACACCAATCACATGGCAGAACTTTTGCCACATGCCATTAGTTAGAAGCGAATTACTGAATCTAACCCACACTCCAGGGCAGAGGATTAGGCCCCAACTTTTGAAGAGTTTGTGGGTATCTCTTTAAACCACCAAACATTATTTCTAATTTCCTGCTGGTAAGCAATGCTCCAAGGTATTCTCCACGTACATTCTACATACTCCTCCTTGTGCTGGCATCCTCGAGCGGCTTCCTGTCCAGCCTGGGTCCTACCCCACTGGCCACAAACCAAGCACAGCCCACGGAATGGGGCCAGGATGGCTGCCTCAGACCCACCTGTGTCCTCACGTAACTGTAACGACTTTGTTAAAGACCCTACCTCTAGTCACATTGGGGGTTAGGGCTTCACATGAATTGGAGGGGGCACAATTCAGCCTATAGCATCACCTTAGCATCCTACAACAGAACAAATCTTGTGAGCAGGTATCTTGGTGACTCCCTATTACTTACTGCATAAACCCCAGCTTCTGCCTTACATCTGAGAGCCCCGAGCCCACTGTCTAGCCTCCCGCCACCACACCCCCAACATCCTCTGTCCCTCACACACAGCACTGTTTCCTGGTCAGCCCGTGCTTTTCTCCCGTTTCAATGTCCATACCAGGCCCTTCTCTCGGGCTGGTGCGCTGCATCCCAGCCCCACCCGCCCAAATCCCAGGCACCCTTCACTGCAAGGCCTCTTCCGGCCTTGGGAAGTGGGGGAGGGCTCCTGCTAACTGCTGGACTGCGGGCACATCCACTCTTTCTCCCTCAGTCAAAAATGAAAGCTTCGATTGCACACAGCCATGTCCACCTTGTGTATCGTTTACGGCTGCCTCTGCCCTAGAGCGGGGACGCTCGGTAGCTGCAAACAGACGCCATATGGCCTGGTGTCAGGAACCGAAAGTTTGTGTCTCCCAGAATTCAATGTTGAAACCTCAGGGTGACAGTGTTAGGAGGTGGGGCCTTTGGGAGGGATTAGGATTAGATGGCGTCAGGAGGCTGGCACGCTCAGGAGTGCCCTTGAGTCACAGGGGAGATTGCTGTCCCCCCCCCATGCAAGGACACAGCGGGGAGGCAGCCACTTGCAACCCACCAGGGGGCTCCACCAGAACCCAGCCCCACAGGCACCCCCATCTCCTCCAGCTTCCGGAACCGCGGGGGATACATTCCTACTGTTTACAAGCCACCCAGGCCGTGGTCCTTTGTTCCAGCAGCCCAAACTAAGATACACACAAAGCTGCAAGTATTTACTCTCTGGCCCTTTACTGAAAAGGTTTGCGGATTCCTGGCTTAAAACAGCAATTGTTGATTTTGTTCATGATTCCGTAGGCTGGGCTGCACTGCATCTGAAGTCAGCGGCAGGCAGGCAGCTCCACTTCTGGAAGGCGGCTGGCTATCAGACAGAAACCCTGGCTCCCTCCCTGTAGCATCTCCTCCTCCAGGGCCAGCCTTGGGTCCTTCACGCGGCAGCGTTCCCGAGGTGGAGGGGACACAGGCAAAGGCTCTAGAGGCTGGAAGTCCAAGATCAAGGTGCTGGCAGATGCCGTGTCTGGTGAGGGACTGGGTCATGGACCGCCATCTTCTTATGTGTCCTCACGTGGAGGATGGAGGGACGGAGCTTTATGGGGCCTCTCTCATAAGGGCACTCATCCCATTCATGAGGACTGCACCCTCATGACCTAAGCCCCCCCAGAGGCCCCGCCTCCCCATACCATCATCTGGAGGATTAGGTTTCAGTTAGCAATTGTGGGGGGCACCGACTGTCAGTCTATGACAGCATCACTTCCACTGCAGTCCGCTGGCAAGACAAGGACAAGGAAGCCCAGATTCCAGGGCTACAGAAACAGACGTTACTTCAAGATGGGAAAAGCTGCAAGGTCATGGCAGAAAGGCTGAGGATGTAAGGAATGAAGGACGGGGACATTCTGGCAACCCATCTGCCACACTGAGGTTTTAGGAGTTGAGTGAGCCAAAACACAGCTCATGGCAAAGACCTCCCACGGGCATGACCCATACGGTTGCCAAAATCTAGGAAATCTGGCATAGGGGTTCTCACCCGGGGTGACTCTGTCCCTAGTGAGTACTGGTTGATGCTGGGGACATCTGTGGTTGTCACGACTGGGGTGCTGCCGGCGCTGGGTCAGTAACCAGGGATGCTGCTCCACCCCCGTGCCCACCCCAGAATGACCTGCCCCAATGTCAAACGTGCTGAGAAATTCAGACCTGCAAAAATGGGTGAGGATACCACAGGTTTGGGGTTGGGGGTTGAGCCTAGTGTTTGGGGGGAAAAGCGGCCAAGGGCACAGCAGAGGCAGTTTCTCCCGCCCAGGCTCCCCACCACAGGTCCAGAGGGAGAACACCCCATCCCTGCTCAGGCTCCCCTTCATGGGAGGCCTTTGGTCACCTCACCTTCTCTCAATTTCCAATCAGGCGGAAGCTGAGACTTCCTTCCCTCTGGTTCCTTGCAAAAGGCGGTTTTGCCTGTAGTCACCCTGGCCTCGCAGGCCCCAGGTTAAGAATCCCTGCTGGGACAGGGGGTGCCAAAAAGCAGTCGTTGAGCTCAAATGGCAAATGTGGCCCTGTGGGACGTGGCATGTCCCCTTCTCTTGGGAAATGTGATCAATTCTTCTTGCAGCGACACGGACCTCTCCATGTCCACACTCAGGCTCCTCCATGGAATAAAATCCCAAAGGCACAAGTGAGACATTCCCTTCAAGCAAGATGGTAGAGGAGAGAGGCTGAGCATGAGAGGTGCTGCACAAGGACGGAGCTGGAGTCACAGAGGTTTCAAGATCAGGAACTGGGGGGAGAGCCACAGCCCAGTGGGATGGCTTCCAGTCCTGCTCTGCTCACCGGGGCCTTGAGCAAGTCACTTACTCTTTCTTACCCTTGGTGTACTGGCCTGGGACCCCACCTCTTGAGATGGCAGGACAATTCAGCAGGAGCTCACGTGCTACAGCAGATCGCGCAGGCAGGAGCTTACAATGCAGTCCAGGGGTGCCAGATCCCCTGATTTTAAGCAAGGCTAAAAATCAGGGTTTTTGCAAAATCTCCCATTTTAAATTTTTATTTTATTTTATTTATTTGTCAGACAGAGCACAAGCAGAGGGAGCAGCAGGGAGCCTGACGCGGGGCTCGATCCCAGGACCCTGGGATCAGGACCTAAGCCAAAGGCAGACGCTTTACTGACTGAGCCACCCAGGCATCCCTATTTTTTTTTTTTTTTAACGTTTTTTACTTAAGTAATATCTACACCCAACACGGGGCTCAACTCATGACCCCCAAATCAAGAGTCACATGCTCCTCTGAGCCAGCCAGGTGTCCCAAAGTCTCCCGATTTTTAAATGCTGGCGACCAATTCAAATAAAGCAAGCAATAAGCCTACCACACAGGCTGAAGAAGGCAGGTGTGAGAATCAAACATGGCGTGCAAGCTGCCAATTTTCAACCCCTGATGGAAGAGGAACAGGAATAAAAAGCCACAAATTTGCTCTCGGTGAAGACTCCCTTTAAGCCCGCAGCCGAAGCCCTGTGCTGCTATAGCTGGAAGTCACCTGTTGCTCAAAGGGAGGGTGTGCCACTGTCCCCACAACAGTGAGGACCCCATGACAACAAGGACCCAGCTGGTGCCGTCTGCCCGGGTGGAGAAGAGCTGAAGCTGGATGCTGGGCACCTGTCAGCACAGGAAAAGCAGTATTTAAGCACACCTATGTGAATGCGGACTCCTGAGTCCCAGCTGGCTTCCTCCTCTTTGGGTCAAGGCAATGATCTTCTAATGGTTTTTGACCTAAATGTTTGTTTTGGGGAGGCAGAGTTTTCTTGAGTACATCATCTAGGTAAGATTTTAGAACGCAAGGTTGGCAAGACCCATTGGTATCATTTTGCTCAGTCACCTGACAGGGACGTGGAGGGCTGGAGATGGAAGGGACTCAGCCGAGGAGGTCCGGTTCTGAGCAGGGCTCTCTCCTGTGGGACATGCTCTCGCTTGCTCCTACAAGGCCAACCATAAAAGAACACATGGGGGGCGCCTGGGTGGCTCAGGTGGTTGAACGTCTGCCTTTGGCTCGGGTCATGATCCCGGGGTCCTGGGATTGAGCCCCACATTGGGCTCCCTGCTCGGCGGGAAGCCTGCTTCTCCCACTCCCTCTGCCTGCCACTCCCCCTGCTTATTCTGTCAAATAAATAAAATCTTAAAAAAAAATAAAAATAAAAAAGAACACACGGGCCCTGAGCGGAGCCCTCACTTCAGAAGGGGATGTCTGAGGAATCTCCAGCAGGTAATGACCTGTTCTGGGCCTGCTGCAGCAGAGCGTAGCTGATACACACCACTGCCAGTGGGTCATATGCAGCGGGAACATGCACACACACCACACCAAAAACATTTAGAGTCTGAGAAAAAAAAAAGGGTGGAAAAAAAGATTTTCCTGCAATCACAGTGCTGAGAAAGTTCACTCAGTATCACTGCCCCACGTGGCACAAACTAAGCCTGACTGAGCCTGCTGCAGAGCACCAAGCAGCTGGAACTCTCACGTCAAGGATCACCTACGCTGCAGTGCTGGTGAGAGAAAACTCAGCTCCAGCACCCTGACCTCGGCACAGTTTTCCAGGCGCATCTGTGACGACTCAGGGCTGAGGAACATTCAGAGTTTAGACGGCGTGCAGTGAACTCCAATACCCACTGCTGATACGGTCACTAAAGACATTCATCGGGAAGGACATTTTCAAATCTGTTTTATTGTAAGATGACATGACTGTATGTGTATACACACATGTAAACACACCGTGATGATCTCATTTGGCACTTCGGTTCTCGAAGTTTTTATAGTCACAATATATATATGACATACGTTCATACCCGTAACAATTCTGATGTTTAAAAATATTTTATTTTTTTAAAGTTTAAGTAATCTCTACACTCAACATGGGGCTTGAACTCACGACACTGAGATCAAGACTCACATGCTCTTCTGAATGAGCTAGCCACGTGCCCTACAATTCTGATGTGTTTTTTAGCAGATTTTTTTAAATTATGAAAGTCTTATGTACCTTCTCCATGTGAAATGCCCATTTCAGATGCAGAAAACATCCCAACATACTGGAAAGGGGTTTAATAAACTAAATCTTTGGGCTCTTGGGGCGCCTGGGTGGCTCAGTCGTTAAGCGTCTGCCTTCAGCTCAGGTCATGATCCCAGAGTCCTGGGATCGAGCCCCGCGTGGGGCTCCCTGCTCAGCCGGAAGCCTGCTTCTCGATCTTCCACTCCCCCTGCTGGTGTTCCCTCTCTCGCGCGCTCTCTCTCTCTGTCAAATACATAAATAAAATCTTAAAAAAAAACCCAAACAAACAAAAACACACTAAATCCTTGGGCTCTTGAGAAGATGACAGAGAATTTCATTCCCCACCCCCATCTGCAACCTTCTTTAAACCTTAGTCAAGAGTCTCCAGGTCTGAATCAGGGCCAGCCTGGCTCAAGACAGAGCCACTGGGCTGCTCCACGTTGCTGAGGCAGGGATTCCCGAAGCTGGTGACAGGCATTTCCCGAGCCTCCAGGGTGAGCCGGATTCTGAGCTTGGCAGTGCAACTCTTCCATCCTTCTGCAAAGGAACATGGTCCCCACATGGAGGGTGGCCACAAGGTTAGCCTGCCAGGCAGATGCTTAAAAATGTTGTCTTGATGATATTATGCTGGGTAAGCCAAAGAGAAAGCATTCTGTATGTGCCCTCAGAGAAGCAGTGCAAGCGAAAGAATTTCCAACTAGGCTTACAATGACCACGCCAGTCTACTGCTGTGAATCCAACTGATGAAAGGCCACTGTTTGAGGACTGGTGAGGGGTCATGTGTGGTTCCAGCCCTCTCCTGCTGCTTTCAGACATGGAGAAACCTCTACAGCCATGTCTACAATGGTCTAACACATGCACCTCTTGTGTTGACAGAGGGAGGCAGCACTAGACAGGCCAATGTGTGGTTCTTATGAGCAAGTACAACAGATGTCCAACTACCAACCCTGGATTCAACCAAAGACATTCAAATTAAAAAGAAGCCACTGGTGGGGCACCTGGGTGACACAGCCAGTCAAGAGTCCCACTCTTGGGGGCGCCTGGGTGGCTCAGTTGGTTAAGCGACTGCCTGGAGTCCCAGGATCGAGTCCCGCATTGGGCTCCCTGCTCAGCAGGGAGTCTGCTTCTCCCTCTGACCCTCCCCCCTCTCATGCTCTCTCTCTCTCTCTCATTCTCTCTCAAATAAATAAATAAAATCTTAAAAAAAAAAAAAAAAGTCCCACTCTTGGTTTCGGCTCAGATCATGAACTCATGGGTCATGAGACAGAGCCCTGCACTGGGTTCCGTGCTCAGCAGGGAGTCTACTTGCGATTCTTTCTTTCCTCTCCCCCTCTGTCCCTCCCCCCACTCTCTCTAATAAATAAATCTTTAAAAAGAGAGAGAGCTTCTCAAAAGCTTATTAAAACAGAGCTTCTCCTTGGGGCGCCTGGGTGGCTCAGTCGGTTAAGCGGCTGCCTTCGGCTCAGGTCATGATCCCAGGATCTTGGGATCGAGCCCCGCATCGGGCTCCCTGCTCAGCAGAGAGCCTGCTTCTCCCTTTCCCTCTGACTGCTGCTCTGCCTACTTGTGCTATCTCTCTGTCAAATAAATAAATTAAAAAGAAATTAATTAAATAAAATAAAATAGAGCTTCTCCCGATGAGAAGTCAAGTATTACCCCAAATCCAGTAGTTGTCTTATTTAGACTTAACAAGAATGCGAATGCAAAGGTAGCCAGGTGTACTATACAGGTGGAATTTTCACAAAACTGCTGAACGAAGAGGGAAGGAAATGTAACAGAGAGGGCCAGCCTGTCCTGTTCCACTAGTGTGGACCTCCAGCATACAGCTCCAAGGTCTAGATGTTTCCATTACCAAAGTGATTTAAACACATACAGAACCCTGCTGGGAAAACTGCACTTGGGATGAATGAAAAGCGCTGCCAAATCAATTTTCCTCATGGGATTAATCCTTCATTCTGGATATCTGCAGCACTAACTCTAGCTCTAAAAAAGCTTTAGGAGATTTAAAAGACCAGATAACATACAGTAACTGAAACTCATCATACCAACAATTGTAAGCTTTTCTTATACCTTCAAGAGTGAATGTGCATCCAATTCCTACTGACCAACAATTCAAAAAGTTCAGATCCCAACCCTAATAATGGACAACGATATAAGGGATATTCCTATCCAGGGCTATGGTTATCAAGTTTAAAAGCCAAGAACACCTACTCAAAATTCCTCTAAGAAAAAAACAGTTGTCAGGGCGCCTGGGTGGCTCAGCCGTTAAGCGTCTGCCTTCGGCTCGGGTCATGATCCCAGGGTCCTGGGATCGAGCCCCACATTGGGCTCCCTGCTCTGCGGGAAGCCTGCTTCTCCCTCTCCCACTCCCCCTGCTTGTGTTCCTGCTCTCGCTGTCTCTCTGTCAAATAAATAAATAAATAAAAATCTTAAAAAAAAAAAAAAAAGAGGAAAAACTGTTGTCTTCACTTTGGCAATTTGTGAAACGGGTTTTGTAAATACTGTTGTCCAAATGCTACCATAAAGTTGGTATGCATTCTCAAAATCTGTTATCTGATTAGTCTCCCCATGGCATGTTATATAAGAAATACATACTCTAAAAGCAGCTGAAGGTTCCAAGCAAAAGTTACTTACCCCAGAAGAAAATGTCTAGTTAAAGTCATTCAGATAACGTAGATGATCTCTTTCCAAGGTTTTGTGAGAATGAAATTTATTTTACTATATCTATGTTTCAGTTTTGCTTAAATTTACTTTTTTTTTAAGATTTTATTTTAAGTAATCTTTACAACCAACGTGGGGCTCGAACTTATGACCCTGAGATGAAGAGTCCCACACTCTGACTGAGCCAGCCGGGCACCCCTACTCTTTTCTTAAGGAATAACACATGTTCTTGGGGACACTTCTAAAGCACAGACTAATTTGACATTCCATTCAGGGTAATTTCACATCCTTAGTCACACGTGAGTACATGGTATGACCTAAGTCATCAGACTAGAGACAGCAGCTAGGCTGAAATGTGTAAGTACATTAATTCAAATAAATGACAGATGCATCTGCTGAAGCCCAGCAATTACCTATTTTAACAGTGTAAATACTCCATTTCTCCTCTGGGAGGTAACTTTTTTTTTTTAAAGATTTATTTATTTGAGGGGCGCCTGGGTGGCTCAGTTGGTTAAGTGACTGCCTTCGGCTCGGGTCATGATCCCAGGGTCCTGGGATCGAGCCCTGCATCGGGCTCCCTGCTAGGCGGGAAGCCTGCTTCTCCCTCTGCCCCTCACCCTGCTTGTTCCCTCTCTCGCTGTGTCTGTCAAATAAATAAATAAAATCTTAAAAAAAAAAAAAGATTTATTTGAGAGAGTGAGTGAGCTCGAGCAGGGGTAGGAGCCGAGGGGGAGGGAGAGGAACAAGCAGACTCTGTGCTGAGTGCAGAGCCCCACTCAAGGCTCGATTCCAGGACCCTGAGATCACAACCTGAGCCGAAACCAAGAGTCGGACGCCTGACTGACTGAGCCACCCAGGTGCCCCCCCCCCCGCCCCGAAAGGTAATCCTAATAGACAGCATAACATTCAAGTGAGTTCCCACTCATGGCTGAAGAATGCACTGAGAAAGAAAAGGAGAAAAGAAAAAAGAGCTTGCGAGCGGGCAGAGAGGGCGAAGCCCTTCCAAAAGTGCACGCCTCTAACAGCCTCGGACTAGCGGATTCTGCTTTAACTAAGCACCGGCAATGAAAAGAGCACTGAGGGTGGCAGAAACAAAGCAGGCTGAAATAAAAACGCTGTGTTGCAGGAAAGGCCAGGCCCCATCAGAAAATCCACCACTAGCCCAACACCCCACTTTAGAAGCCGCCCCAAGGGCGGAAAACATGAGGAGCGCTCCTCTTTTCCACAACCCTCAATTCGCAGCCCTAGTCTGTTTCCTCGTGATCCCAGAGGGAAGAACACGGCCGGATCACAAAGACTGGGTTGGGAGGTCGGCCCTCACTTGCCATGCACCCGTTTTCCACGAGCTGAAACTGAAACGTGCAGCAAAGGCCCCTAGCGCGGCCCGCGCGAGTCTCGGTTGCCCCAAGGGCAGTCTGTGTCCTTGTTTCCTCGCGGCGGGGAAGTGGCCCGAGGTTCAGCCCGGCTACAGCTGGAAAAGGCTGCGGGTGCGGGGAGGCGCTCCACCGCCCCGGCCCCGGGGCGACGGCCCTGCATCCCCGCCTGGGGCTCGCTCCTGAGCGTCCGGCTGAAGGCGCAAACAGCAGAGACGCCCCGGGGAGAGGCCCGGGCAACGGCGCGGGGGTGTGCATCTGTACACCTGGCGCACAGCGCACCCGGGCGTTGCTTCTACCTGGAGATCCCTCCTTCCCTTGGCCGCTTCCCGTCTCTGCCCCCATCTCTTCTTAGGCTCCTCCCCCACCCTCAAAGGCACGGTCTCCGTCCTCTACCCCCCCCCACCAAGCGCCAAGGTCTCGGGTTCCTCTAGCCCTCCTTACCGTTCCCCCTCCCTGGAAGCCTCTAATGCCCACCCCCCATTTGGTGTCAGGACTTCCCCCAAGGCTCTGCCTGCCCCCCAATCAGGGCTCAATCCCCCTTGCCAATGCCTCTGAATTCCCTCACCACCCACACCCCCCGACCCCACATTCCCCTGCGCGGCCGGGTGCCCTCCCGCTCCGTCTTCGCCCAGATCCGAATCAGATCGCCCCTCCGCTCCCCTCCCCTCCGCCAAGGTCCCCGCTCCACACCCTGCGCAGTCAGGTCCCCTCCGGACCCGCCCCCACCCCCCGGGCCCTCAGGACCCTCCCGGGCCTCCGTCTGTCCCCCACCCCCGCCCAGGGGTCCCCGCGCTCTGGCCACCCTCGGCCAAGTCCGCTCCCCACTCGGGCTCCTGTGCCCGCCTTGGGGGCCGCTGCCCTCCCCACCTCAGGCCTGAGCGCCCCCGCAGGTATGGACCCCCAGCACCGCCCGCTCTCCCTCCCGGCTGCGCGGACATCTTAGCTGGCGCAGGCCTCCCAGCCCGTGTCCCGCCCGGTTCCGGCCAACACGCCGGCCCGCGGCTTCCCCGGGGCCGGGGTCGGACCCGCGTCGGGCCAGCGGCGCGGGCGGCGCTGGGGCCGTTACCTGTACTGGGGGCCGGCGCCCCACGCGAAGCCGGAGCAGTTACTCGCCGCCATCTTGGCGCCTCCACAGAGCGCGAGCTGACCCGAGGCGCGAAGGGGCGGGGCCGCCGGCGGTGACGTCCCCGGGCCCCGCCCCCGCGCCGCGTGCCGCTGCCGCCCCACCACGCGCCCCAGGCCCCGCCCCCCGCGCGAAGCCTGGGCCCTCTCGCTTCTCTCTGCACGTCTCCGGCCTGACTCTACCTCGAGCCCCGCCCCCGCCTCGAGCCCCGCCCCTTCCTGGAGTCCCGCCTTCCCTCCGGCAGCTCAACATCCGGGGTCTCTGCCTCGAGCCCCGCCCCTTCCCGGAGTCCCGCCTTCCCCCCCCGGCAGCTCAACATCCGGGGTCTCTGCCTCGAGCCCCGCCCCTTCCCGGAGACCCGCCTTCCCTTTAACCGTAAGGCTTTGTCGGCGGTCTCTTGCCTACGTCCCAAGACCCGCCCTGAGCGGGAGCCTGGACATAATTTTACCTTGTGTCCCACTTGGGTGGGTTTGGGAGTTCCGCTGGCCGCTCTGGCTGAGTGCAGGTGGCCCTGCTGAGGCGGCCACGTCCTGCGTGTCCCTTGGGCATCCCTGGTTGGCAGCCTTTCGTGGGGCCTTCTAAGAGCCCACTTAGCACCTAAAGCTTGCTGACCCTAAACTAGTGGTTGTCAGCTGCAGTGATTTGCCTCCAGAGGACACTGGGCGGTGTCTAGGGACATCTGTGGCTCCTGGCATGAAGTGGGTGGGGGCCCGGGACGCCCCACAAAGACCGGCTCCAATGTCAGGCTGAGAAACCCTACTCCAAGTGTAAGTCATTTTGAGAGATATTTCTTTTTTTTTAAGATTTTATTTATTTATTTGACAGAGAGAGACACAGCGAGAGAGGGAACACAAGCAGGGGGAGTGGGAGAGGGAGAAGCAGGCTTCCCGGTGAGCAGGGAGCCCGATGCGGGGCTCGATCCCAGGACCCCGGGATCACGACCTGAGCCGAAGGCAGACGCTTAACGACTGAGCCACCCAGGCGCCCCTTGAGAGATATTTCTTGACCCACCTACTACAAGCCGGGCCACGTTGGGGGATGCAGCAGTAAGCAAAACTTCATGGTGCCAGCCCTCCTGAACTTAGAGCCAGGGAGGCAGATCATAACCAAACTACTAATTACAATTACAGTGCTTTTTCTGGTTAATAACAGCTTGACCAAGACAGAATTCACATACTGTACAATTCACCCATTTAAAGTGTGCAATTCAGTGGTCTTTAGTACGTTGACAGAGTTGCACGACCATCACCACTGTGTGATTCCAGAGCATTTTCATCACCCCGAGCAGAAACTGTCTCCATTAGCCGTCATCTCTCAATCTCCCAGCCCCTGGCAACCGCTGGTTTGCTTTTTGTCTCTATGGGTTTACCTGTTCTGCGCATTTCATATAAATGGGCCACTACTTAGCAATAAAAAGGAATAAACTCCTGAAACACAGAACAACTTGGATGAAGCTCTAGAGAATTATGCTGAGCAGGGAAAAGCCAATGCAACAAGGTTACATGCTTTACATACTCTTATGATTCCATTTACATAAAGTTCTTGAAACGTCAAAATTACAGAAATGGAGAACATATTAGTGATTTCTAGGGGTTAAGGACATGGGGAGGAGGGTACGGGGAGTAGAAGCACTGTACAGGGACAACGTGAGGTATCCTATGGTGAGGACATCTTCTAGCTCTCGACTGTATGGAAAGCAATGGTGAGATTGTACTATAATCGTGTAAGATTTTACCATTGGGTAAATGGGGGAACAGGGTACACAGGATCTCTGTTATTTCTTACTGCATGTGAATCTACAATTACTTCAAATTTTTAACACTTAATTAAAAAAACCACACACACAACAGTATGGGGCACCTGGGTGGCTCAGTCATTAAAGCCTGCTTCTCCCTCTCCCACTCCCCCTGTTTGTGTTCCCTCTCTCACTGTGTCGCTCTCTGTCAAATAAATAAATAAAATATTAAAATAAATAAAATAAGAAAAACAGTACATGTACCGACTGTGGAGGGTGGTGTTCCTTTCCTCCTTGATATGAAGCAGGCACAGGGCTAGTTAATTCTTGGACAGAAACCATGCCAAGCCCAGGGTGCCAAGGAAAGCCGTATGGGTGATTTAGTGGATGGCATTCTTCCACTTGAGTCTTCATGACCATGTGTGGCCACCAGGAACAATCGAGTGGGTCTGGCAAATGCAGCTCTCCCACCATGCCCTGGCTGAAGTTCAGAGTAGTAATTACACAGGGCCTCCCTCCAATTCCCTGCAGCTCTGACGAGGTAAAGAAGGCTATATGCTTTATACAAAAGCAGGTCTGTCTTAATGTTTTCTCTGGATTACATAATATCCCACCCCCACCCCCACCCCCCCATTATTTACTACAAGCATTGTGCTAAATGCTTTGCATGCACGATCTTATCTGGTCCTTACAATAGCTCTTAGAAGTAGATACAGTTGATTCTCATTATTGGCAGCTGCTCTGTTCTATAAAGTTGCAGCAAACCCTGCAAGAGTGAATGCTGAAGCATGGCCCCTGGAGGAAACCCTGGGGTAGGTTCCTGCGAGCCTCTGGTCACAATATTTTCATCAACTCATCAATACATAATCTTGTGCTCTGTATGCTTCTTGTCTAAAGACACCTTATTTAATACACATTGTCGATTCGTTAACAGCCAACAGCACTATAATTCATGCCTGAATTAAGCTTATCTAACACATATATTTTCTCTGTAAGCTGCAGCCCAGGCTTTTGTGCTCAGAAACACCAGCCAGTACTGTGCACGGGGGCCACTGTAAACAGCAAAACCACCAACATAAAGTGTAAAAATGCAAAAATCATGGTACTAAATAGATCCCGAAAGGGGCCATTTACAACCTGGGCTGGAATAAGGAGGCAAAATGGTGCCTTGTTCAAACCCAGCTGGGAACATGTATGGCCAGCACTCAAAGTTTTCACCCCTCTGCGTTGTCTGCAAATGACCCTGAAAGCACCGTGAGTATGGATTTGGGGGTTACGAATGTTACCGATGAATTTCAGCCAGTAGGCAAATTTACAAATAGAGAAGTAACTAATAATGAGACTCGAATGTCCTTGTATTAATCCCCTTTGCAAATCATGAAAAGGATAATCAAGGAGCTTTAGCAATTTCATTGCCTCAACCCAATTCTATGAGAACTGATTATGATTCAGGTGTTCCTCTAGGGCAGGGTTTCTCAACCCATGCTGTTGATAATTGGGGCCAGAGAATTCTCGGTTCTGGGGGGCCCGTCATGTGCATTGTAAGGTGTGGAGCAGCATCTCTGGTCTGTACCCACTCAATGCCAACATCATCTCCATCCCCCAAGTCATGATAACCAAAAATGTTCCCAGACACCACCAAATGTCCCATGAGGGGCAGAATCTCCACCACACCATGAGAACCACTGGTCTAGGGACTGGAGACACAACAACCACAAAGCGCAACATCTCTGATCTCAAGAAACTTACGTTGTGGGAGAATGGCAAACGGGGATGTGGGGCAGGGAGGGGAGTTAGTGTTTCTTGGCGACTGAGTTTCAGTTTGGGAAGGTGAAAAAGTTCTGGAGACGGATGGTGGGAATGGCTGCACATTGTGAACGTAATTGATGCCATTGAATTTGACACTTAAAAATGATCAGAAAGGCAAGTTTTATGTTATGTATGTATATTTTAACCACAATTAAACCAGACAAGAGCCAAGCTTGGCTTTTGCAGTCGCTCCTTGGCAGTGGCCACAGCACCATGGACAGCTCCCTGTGCGCTCTCATAGGGGAGGGACTGCTGCTTTGTAAATGCCCCTCTTTCCGAATGTCTTTCTCCCGCTTCTTCATCCATCCCACTCCTACCCACTCCTCAGGGCTCAGCTCACATCGTCACTGCCCACCCTCCCCGCCGGGAAGTCTTCCCATGCACCCTCCCCCAAGCCACTCTGCTCCAAAGATGTCTCTAAATCAGCCCAGACTCCTTTGCCCATCTGTTTCTCCAAATGGGAGTTCTGCAAAAGCAGTCTTTCTTATTCACACACTGGACCCCCACACCCAGCCACAAAGACTGGCCTGGATTTCCCATTCAGTTAGCACGAGTGTGTCTTCCCAGAGCTCCCACTTCCTCCAGCCAGGAGGCTCTGGGCTCTCCTCGCCTGCTGTGGGGCAACGCCTTTCTGCCTTGGGCTCGGAGGGCCCAGACCCCGATGTAGTGAGTGAAGCAGCAATGGGAGCACAGTGTTGGCTGATCTCCGTGAGGGGAGCCAGCATTCACACATTCCACCTGCATCTCCTGGAGGCCTCCATGCTGGGTACTGCAGCCCTCTGCAGAGAACATGGCCGTGTACGAGGCCAACCAAGGCAGGGGCTCCTGGGTGGCTCAGTCGGCGAAGCATCTGCCTTCGGATCAGGTCATGATCCCGGGGTACTGGGATCAAGCCCCCATCGGACTCCCTGCTCACCGGGGAGGCTGCTTCTCCCTCTCTCTGCCCTTCCCCCCACTCGTGCTCTCTCTCTCTCAAATAAATAAATAAAATCTTAAAAAAAAAAAGACCAACCAAGTCTCTTTTATCTTGAATTTTATAGTCTAGCGAGGGGGTCAGAGAATAAATGAAGAAACAAGTAAATAATTTCAAATAGTGGTAAGTGCCGTGAAGGGGGGGGAATCAGGCAGGTGAAACACAAACCTATTGTATGTCCTGGTAATTCCGTTCCCAGGCGTGTATGCAGGGGAACTGAAAACAGGGACCCAGATAAGTCTGGTCACAGCCATGTTCACAGCAGCGCTATCCACGATAGCCAAACGGTGGCAACGGCCCCGACGTCCATCCACTGGTGAACGGGTAAACAAAAATGTGGCTAATGCATACAGTGGAATATACTGTTCAGCCATCAAAAGGAACAGAGCACTGAAGCTGCAGTGTGGATGATCCTTGAAAAATTATGCTCGACCAAAGAGGCCAGACAAAAAAATGATATAGTGTATGACTCCATTTATATGAAATGTCCAGAACAGGCAAATTCACAGAGATAGGAAGCGGATTAGAGGTTGTCAGGGTTTGGGGCTGGGGGCTGGGGAGTTAGTTTAATAGGGACAGAGTTTCAGTTTGGGAAGATGAAAAAGTTCTGGAAATAGTGGGGATGGTTGCGTGGCCATGGGAGTGTGCTTAATGTCACCAAACTGTACACTTTCCAATGGTTAAAATGGTAAATTTTATGTTTTGAGTATTTTACCACAATTTTAAAATGTATATACTGAAAAAAAATCAGACCGGGCAATGGAATGGGGTGATGGAGTGTGGGGGCAAGGGAGGGATGGTTGGGGAAGGCCTCTCTGAGGAGAGTACTTCTGAGCTGACACCTGAATAATGTAAACGTCTGCTGGAAGAGCGTTCCTGGCAGTGGGAACAGTATGTTCAAAGGCCCTGTGGTGGGGATGAACGTGATGGGTTCCCAGAACAGGTGAAACACCACCGCATCGACAAAGCAATAGGCATCAGTTCCTACTTGGGGCCATTCGTTCATTTCCTGGGGCTGCTGTAACAAAGTACCACAAAACCAGATGGTTCAAAACAAGAGAAATCTATTATCTCCCAGTTCTGGAGGCCAGAAGTCAAAACTCAAGGTACTGACAGGGTTGGTTGCTTCTGGAGGCTGTGAGGGAAAATCCATTCTATGCCTGTCCAGCTTCTGGTGGTTGCTGGTGATCCTTGGCATTCCTTGGTTTGCAGATGTAAAAACACTTGTCGTTGGATTTGAGATTCACCGTAAATCCAGGGGATCTCACCTAGAGATGAGAGTACCGGATTCCTAACTCCATCTGCAAAGACCTTTTTTCCAAACAAGGTCATATTCACAAGTTCGGGAGGTTAGGACATGGCTATGTCCTAAAAATAGACACAGCAACAGCAAGAAACAGGTATAGAAGCTTTCTCGGGCACCGTGCTACGTCCTCTCCTACATGATCTCATTAAACGCCCAAACGCCAGTACCATAATGTTTCCATTTCACAGATGGGGAAACTGAGGCCCAGCAGGTAAGATCACTTACCCCGTGGTGTGTCCCAGCTAGTTAGCCTCCCAGCCAGGGTTCGAACCTCCTTCTGATCTGATTTCAGAGGCTGCACTCTTTATGGGGTCCCGAAGTCCTCCAGGGCAGGGCCGCCGCGGCGCACAACTGCAGGGGGCGCCCTTCCCTCCGTTGCCCTCCCCCCCCTCCCCCCGAGCAAGTGTGTCTCGTAAGACTCTGCCTCCCCAGCACGCAGCCGGGTCCTTGGCACACACGACTCGGTCCACAGTGAGCGGCCAGCTGAGGGACCCAAGGAATGGGGTCCTAAGGATATTTCCCCTCCCTCCCTTCTTAGATTATACTAATCTAAGGAATGAGGCCATCGCCTCGTTTATTTATTTGTTTGTTTGTTCCTTGTTTTGTTTTTAAATCTGTGGTGCGCCATCAGGAAATCATTTCCGCTTCTGCCCCTGGTGAGGCTCTTGGAAATACTCCCCTTTCAGCCAATGGAGAGCACCGGATTCTGGCAGGGGGCTGTGCTTTATGGTCAGCCCTGCCCCCACCCACCCACCCTGCACACAAAAGCAGCATAATCAACTGTCTGAAGGCAGCCGAGCCTCCGCCGGCAGCGAGCCGGCGAGAAGACCGCTCGGAGGCACGGGCTGCGGCCGTGCCAGGGGCCGGGAGCGCAGCCGGCCGAGGGGCAGCCGACCGCTAACTGCGGCGGTCCCCCAGCTCTGGACAAAAGCGCCCGTCCGCGCCGCCACGTTGCTCTGGGTGACCTTCGCTGGGTGCAGAGTCCGCCCCTGCGCGCGTCCTCCTCCGATGCTCTGAAGGCCCAGGGGCCGCGCGCCGAAGCCGAGGGATGTCCGGCTGCCTGCGCGCGGGGCTCGCCTTTGTTTGCGCGTAACGGGCAGAGGCCGCCGAGGTGAGTCCACCCGCCTTTCTCGCAGCCCTGCCCCGCAAGATCTGTCCGGAGACATCCGCTGCCGCAAAGCCCCGTCCGGCAGGTGGGGCGGGTGGGAGCAGGGAACCACGGTCTTGTGATTCCCGGGATGACAACACAGCCATGTCGCCCGATGCCGAGGAGAACCTTCCGCAGGCATGCACGCCCACCGTTCACCTGGAAGGCAGAGGATTGCACCATTTTCAGGACATGCTTAGAGATGAGGCTGATAAAACCCTCAGCCTCCCTCTGGGACGCTTCCTAAGAGACCGAAATGTACACGTCCCATCTCTGTGCATTTCCTATTTATAACGCCGTGAACGGATTTGGGGGAAAAAAAAAAAAAAAGACTTGATAGATGTGTACATAGAGGCTTGCCTATGGGGTGGGGAGGAAGGGAGAAGGTTGAAGGCTGAGTCCTTCTCTGAATTTGATCGTGATACGCCGCTAACTCAGCCGGCCCAGCGCCAAAGCTCACTGCCTCATTCTCCATCCTCAAACGTGCAGCCGGGATCTTAGGACAGGCGTGTACAGGGCCCACGGGGGACCCACCCACACCCCACATTTAGAGGATTGTGGGGCCAGCATGTGTGGCTCCAGAGTCTCAGCTGTGGGTGGGATTGGGGGGCATGCTTCCTGGGGGCTGAGGTCACACCCAGCTCGGGGTAAGGAAAACAGACGCAGAGACCTCTTCCCGCCCCCCCCCCCCCCCCCGCGAAAGGAAATTCATTTCCATTGACCCGAACTTTGCCTTGCAGTAAGGTTTTGGGTGGTGGTTGTTGCATCAGGGTTTTTTTGGGTTTGGGTTTTTTTTTTTTTTTTTTTTTTTGGCGTACTGCGTCTTACTGTCCCTCCTCCATGAATGAATGACGACATTCAGAACAGTGACAAGGATCCAGTGGGAAACTCTCACCCAAGTGTGTGTGGGGGGGGAGGGTGTCTAATTTTAGCTACCCCTCCCCCACTGCCTGGCCTTCACCTGGCCCAGGCTCCCTCTGGCTCCTCCCTCTCCGAGCCACAACCTCAAATGCAGACCCCGCCCACAGGGGCTGCTGTCCACACCCAAACCCTTAGCCTTGCAGGCTGTGCAGAGGGGCAGCATCGGCATCTGGAAGCGGGGGGGACAGGAGGGGGCGGAGAGAGGGAGGCTTAGGTGCTGGCATGTGAGAATAACCCAGGAGCTACTTGGAGGGTGGGCTGCCAAGGACACAGCGAGCCCTCTGTAATGACTGTCAAACCCTGCCCAAGTTCCCTTCACAAGTGTGCAGTTAAGACAGGACTTCTCAATCTCAGATCTATGGACATTTGAGGCTGATCATTTTTGGTCCTGGGGGGCCATCTTGAGCACGCTGCCGTGTTGAGCAGCATCCCTAACCTCCTTCCACTCGATGCCAGTAGCACCCTCCCCAAATTGTGACGACCAAAAATGCCTCTAAACATTGCCAAGTGTCTCCTGGGGGGAGAGGGGAAGGCAAAATTATCCCCAGTTGAAAGCCACTGATTTAAAAGCATAGAACCCATGGTTTTTTGTTTTAAAGATTTTATTTATTTATTTGACAGAGAGAGACAGCGAGAGAGGGAACACAAGCGGGGGGATTGGGGGAGGGAGAAGCAGGCTTCCCGCCAAGCAGGGAGCCCGATGCGGGGCTCGATCCCAGGACCCCGGGATCATGACCTGAGCCGAAGGCAGACGCTTAACGACTGAGCCACCCAGGCGCCCCAGAACCCATGGTGTTGACTAAGTTATAAGATCCTGGAATGTTATGTCCAAAGATATTATATAAAGATCATTTCTAGTCCAACTTTTTAGTTTGCAGATGGAGATACTGAAGCTGGGAAGGGTGAGTGGGGGAGTCTTCCGTGCCTCAGGGTAGACCCCAGTTCAGTCTCATTCCACAGTTCCTGCTGCTCCCAGACAGCCCAGCTCTTAAGCCACCATTTAGGGTGCTGCCCGCCACCCCATCCTGCCCTCAGCTCCTCAGAAAAATAAAAAACAAAACTTGTGTTTTGTGCTTAGTGAGAATTATGACCCCAACTTCCAGCCCCAGTCTCTTTCCACACTGCCTCCATTAATTAGCCCTGGGGTAAGCAGGTTGTCAGGACTTGCTTCTTTGTTGGGGGATAAAGGGGCAGGGCAGGTAGCCTGGAGAAAGTAGAGGGGGGTTGAGGTCGACCAGGTCCTATTTGAAAGTGTCAGTCCCAGGCGGGTGGCTTACTCGGTTAAGTGTCTGCCTTCTGCTCAGGTCATGATCCCGGAGTGCTGGGTTCGAGTCCTGCATTGGGCTCCCTGTCAGCTGGGAGTCTGCTTCTCCCTCTGCCCCTCACCCCACTTGTGCTCTCTCTCTCTCTCAAATAAATAAATAAAATTTAAAAAAATCTTTAAAAAGAAAAAAAAAAGTGTCAGTCCCAGCAAGGAAGCTTAAGTATATCGGTCACTAACACTTTAGTATAAATGATTTTAAGTGGCTTTATTGCTTCCCAGATAACTCCAAAGTAAGGGAGCGATGATGATCCCTAAGGAGAACGGACTTCAGAACTTCAAAGCGAGGGGGGTTGATGCCTGCTGACTCAGCCCCTCACCTGGGTTCAAATTCCAGACCCATGTGGATGTCATCAGCTCCCTACACCTCTGTTTTCTCACCTGTGACATGGGGAAACCTCATGGGGCTGGTCAATGGTTCAGTTTAATGAAGGATGAAACAGTCTTTGCATATTGACCTGAAGGGCCACACGTGGGCAGGGGGCTGTTATTACGATAACTGTCCAATAAAACCTTCATGTGGCCCGCCTTCAGGATTCATCTCTGCTTCAAGCCAGCACTTCTCCTTGGTTCTCATGGGGACCACTGAAGCCACACTCCGGATGGAAAACGTGGATGTGAAGGAAGAATGGCAGGACGAAGCTCTTCCCAGGTATGGCTTCTCCGTTTCCACATCACCTATCGCGTTGGGGGGAAGGGTGCCCACTGCTTCTCTGAGCTGTGGTGTGGGGGACGCCGAGGATGGATGGGACCAGGCACATAATAAATATTTGCTGACTTTTTTAAGATTGATTCCCCACCCCCACCCCCACCAAAGCCCCGCAAAAGCTCCATTCCCACGCTATTTTAAGGGTTATGAACATTCTTCTACAACCATCTCATGGACTGTTATATTCTTACATGTGTTCCCACGAATCCAGGTGATAGCACATTTTTCCCCGTGGCAGCCAGAGGGATCTTGTCTTACTCCTGCCTAAAGCTCCTGGGGCAGATGCCCACCCCAAGGAAAATCCGGTGTTCAGCCTCCCCTCCTTCTTCAACCTCTCTCCCCCCACATCCCCTTCATGTCCCTCCAGTTCTAGAAGCTTCCTTCCCATTCCTTCTCCAGGCCCGGCCGGCGCTGACTGTCAGACTTCGCACTGGCTGCTCCCTCTGCCTGGAATGCCTTTCCCAGACACCCAAGCTTCCCTCGCTTCCTTCAGGTCTCTGCCCGCAAGCCTCCCTCTCAGAGAGGGCCTCTTGGCCCCATTCATTACCCCTTCCCTCAGTCCCTGAATTGTTTCCTTCCTGAACAGCGGCCCCCAAAGACGTCTAATCCCCGTCCCCTGCCAGTGTCCCTCTCCATGGCAAAGCCACTCTGCAAATGTGATGAAGCTAAGGACCTCAAAATGGGGAGATGACCCTGAGTTATCCAGGTGGGGCCCCCATGTCATCGAAAGGGTCCTTCCCGAAGTTCGAAGGGAGGATCTGTTTCCATCCCTTTCTCAGATTCTCCCTTCGAGCTTCCAGGAGGCGCCGGCCCTGCCCACACCTTGCCTTCAGCCCCGTGAAACAGATTTCGGACTCACTTCTGGCCTCTAGGGTTGTAAGAGAATAAATGTGTGCTGTTTTAAGCCACTGTGTGGTGATTTGTTACAGTAGCCAGGAGAGACTCTGCTCTGAGTCTAATACTCTGAATATTTCACGTATTTATCTTGTATATAGTCTGTTTTCCCCACCAAATGGAACCCCCCCCCCCACCACAGCAGGGGCCTTTGGTTGGATCACTGTTGTATGGCAGCATAAGGACAGACCCCGGCATACAGTTGGCGCTCAATAGCTATTGGGTGAGTAGGTCACGGTCACTGGTAGGAGGGAAGCAGAGACACGTGCGCCACCAGGCTTCGTGTCCCTCTGTTTGCTCCTCTGGGCCGCGTGGGGTCACGTGGTCAGCACAGGCTCCCCTAATCCAGTGGCTGGACAAACTGACCACCTCCGCCCTTCTTTAATGCAAGCAATTTACCCCAGGGGATGATGCCCAAGAGCTCGTTATATAACCGTCTGGGAAGGACTAGCCGAAGGGAAGTGTGTGCTCACCCTGGAAAAGAGAATCGGAAGAGGGTCTCCAGCTCCAGAAAATCCCAGCCACTGAGGGGCCGAAGGCTTCCTCATGCCTCAGTTTCCCTATCTGTGAAGTGGGGACGTTAATCCCTCGCTCACAGAGTTGTTGGAGGAACCGGCTGAGGCCCGCGGGATGAAGCGGCTGGGGTGGGCTCGCCACATGACGCAGGCTGCCCAAACGCACGGTCCCCCTCAGATTGCTCTTAGCTGCGTCTTGTTCACTCTGGCTCCCTGCCCCCCCATCCATCGTTTAAAAGATAGCCCCTCTCCCAAGCCTTGTTGAGACAAAATGGGGCAGCTGCAGATGCGAATTTTAAGTGAGTTTCTCCCAGCTGCAGAGGGTCCCTCTCCGTGCTCAGTGGGCCAGTGTCTTCGGCACAGTGGCCCCGCTGTGCAGCCCCGGGGCAGGAGCCAGCCCTTTGCCGGGGCGTCTGCCTTCCTCGCTCTGCAAGAAGGGAGGGCAGCTCCGCACCTCTGTCTAGTGCCAGACAACCCACAGTTCTGTTCCTTCCAGCTCAGCGATCCCTTCCCGGAGGCGTCTTCCAGCTCCCCCGGGGGCCAGAGGGCTGGCCCTGTGCCCACAGCCCCTCCTGCCCCCACGACCTTAAACCATCTTCCTTCACCTCTGCCCCAGAGGGCAGCCTGGAGATGATATAGCTCGCTGCCTTATTTCTCCATTCATTCTCTGTAAGGCTATGCACCCACTGTATGCCCGGCCCCATGCAAGACACTGGGGACACACGGCAAACAGGACAGACACCCTCATGGGGCATTCATTCTGGGGCAGAGAGAGCCTTTCCCCTTATAAACTTCACAACCCAATATAAAACTGAAGCTGGGTTCGTGGTAACTGGGAGAGTGCCTGGGTGGGGTCTGACCGGGGTGGAGAGACGAGAGGTTGGGGAGGGCGCTGGTTCTAAGCTGTGAAGGATGAAGAAGGCTAGGGGTAGGGGCTGAGCATTCAAAGCTCAGAGAGCAGTGTGTGCAAAGGCCCTGAGGCCAGTGGGAACAGACCAAGGGACGTAAGGAAAGCTGAGGGGGCATCTTGACCAGTGTCTCATAGCTGAGGAGAGGCAAGTACAGGGTTAGACAGATGTCTGACTGGTGCCTCAGCCTGCCCTTCCCTTCACAAGCAAGTGGCCCTGGGTTTTGTTTGTAACTTTTTATTCTGATGTAGTTCCAAACTTAGAAAAAAATTACAAGGATGGTGTAAGGCACATCTGTAAGCTTTTCCCCAGATTTGCCAATTAACATTTCACTCCCTTTGCTTTGTCATTCCCTCCCCTGTCTCTCCCTCCCTCCTGTGTCTCTCCCCTCTCTGTGTCTCTCTCTGTCTCTGCCTTCCTCCTCTGTCTCTCTCTGCCCCTCCCCATATATAGAGAGAGACTCAGTTCCCAGTTTGTATCTCCATCCCTGCACGGGGCATGCCAGTGCGGTGTCTCGCCTGCAACACACGCACAGGAGCTGATTTTGTGCGGCACGCACCTCAACAATCCCCAAAAATGTGTGCAGCCACTGTGGGTTCAGGGCACAGAGTGGTGGAGGGCTCTGAGCAGCCTGAGCATCGCTGCCCTGCCTCAGCCCTGCCCTTCTCCGTCTTGTGCTCTAGCCGTGCTGGCTCCTCTCTTCTGGTCTCCTCCTCCTCTGTCCCCGTCTGCTTGGGCTGCCAAGACGGGATTCCACCGACACTTACGCTCTCACCATCCTAGAGGCTGGCAGTCAGGTCAGGGGCCCGGCAGCGCTGGGCTCGGTGAGGGCTCTCTCCTGGGCTTGTAGACGGCTACCCTCTGACCGCGGCCTTTTCTCCGTGCTTGTGTGCAGAGAGATCACTCCTGTCTCTCTTTCTTATAAAGCACAGCCCTATGGGATCAAGACCCTCTTATGACCTCATTTAACCTTTATTGCTTCTTAAAGGCCCATCTCCAAATGCAATCATATTGGAGGTTGGTCCTTCAATATATGAATGGGCGGGGGACGCGATTCAGTCTGTAACATCCTCTTTGCAAAGAGCTGACTGTTGGGAGTGGAGTTGGGGTGGGGGGCGGAGCTGTGGTGCCACCCGAGGCCTTGGGACCCTCCCCGAGGCTGTGGTGCTGGGGGAACTGGGGGGGGATGAAGGGACAGAGGTGTTGGACATTGCAGAGGAGGCCCAACAAGGGCATCTAAAAACCACCAAAGTGGCCAAGAAAGAACCTTTTAGGCCTCTCTGGCTCTCTTGGTTGGGCTTTGGGGGTGTCATATAGCAAAGCCCCAGCATTGTTGGCCCAGGCTCGAGCCTCGGAAAAGCCTCCCTCTACCCAGAAAGAGATTGTGTGGTTGCGTGCACCAGAAGCGGCCTTGGGCAGGCAGAGACAGAGACTGGCCAGCCCTGGAGGGGAGACTGAGGCAGCAGTGTCCAAGTTTGATACCCTCGAAGTCCTGGAGCACAAGCTTGGGGTGGGGGGCATGGTCAAAGTTCATTCCCAATCCCCTCGTCTCACACCACGGGAAACCGAAGCCAGAGGCTGGAACGTGAGGGTAGACTTGGTGCCAGCAGCCCCCTGTGAGGCCAGCTCTGTTGCAGCTGCAGAGCCCCTCCAGATCGACAGGTGCTCCCGCTGGTGCTCCCCACCACTCACGGGATGCACCTTCACTCAGTCTGTCCTTCCACCAGCCACTTCTCTGAGGGCCAGGCCCATGACTCACCAAAGCAGATAGGAAGAGGCACGTCCTAGCAGGAAGCAAGCAGTTAGACAGAGAAAGCAGGAAGCAGCACTCAAGACAGAGGGGTGAGATGTGCAAAGGCACTGGGGCAAAGGGGGCCTTGGCATGGTAGGGAACGCAGCCCGCAGAAATGGGGCTGAAGGGCTCCTAGATGCAACGTCCTGGAGGGGTGCCCAGGTGAGAGATCTGGATTCCATGCTGCACACTGCATGAGACAACACAGATGTATTCTTTTTTTTTTTTTTAAGATTTTATTTATTTATTTGAGAGAGAGAGAATGAGAGAGAGCAAATGAGAAGGGGGAGGGTCAGAGGGAGAAGCAGACTCCCTGCCGAGCAGGGAGCCCGATGCAGGACTCGATCCCGGGACTCCAGGATCATGACCTGAGCCGAAGGCAGTCGCTTAACCAACTGAGCCACCCAGGCGCCCAACACAGATGTATTCTTGCACAATTCTGGAGGCTAGAAGTCCAAAATCAAGGCGTCAGCAGGGCCCTGCTCCCTCTAAAGGGGACACTCCTTTCCGCCTCTCCCAGCTTCTGGGGCAGCCCGCAGTCCCAGGTATTTCCTGGCTTGGGGACACATCCCTGCAGTCTCTGCCTCATCCTCACATGGCCCCATCCCTGTGTCTGCGTCCACATTCCCCTGTTCTCATCCGCACGCCGCTCACTGGATTTAGGGCCCCGTTAATCCAGGATGGCCTCTTCGTACCTTAATTACGTCTGCAGTGGCCTTATTTCCAATAGGTCATGGTCCAAGTACTGGGAGCTAGGACTTGAGTTATCTTTTGGGGGCACAGACTTCAACCCAGCACGGAAAGATGAAGCCACGCAGGGCGCCTCGCATACGA